ACCCAGTGCCCAGGTCCCACTTTCTCACCATATTCTTTGATTTGTTTAGTACTAAGAACTATATCTAACTCCTTCTTGAAAACATTCAATGGTTTAGCCTCCACCGTTTTATGTGACAAAGAGTTCCACAGGCTCTGGGTGAAGAAATCTCTCCTCATCTCAGTCCTAAATGGCTTGTCCTGGATCCTTAAACTGTGACCTTTGGTTCTGGGCTCCCTGGTCATCAGGAACATCTTACCTGCAATTTATCCTGTCTAGTCCAGTTAGAATTTTATACTTTTCTTTCAGCATCCCCCCAGCACCCCTTTCATTCTTCTAAATTCCAGTGAATGTTGTCCTAACAGTCGCTAGACTATTAATCCAGAGAACCTGGGCATGTTCGAGGGACCCGGTTTCTAATCCGGCCAAGACAAATGATGGAACTTCAATTCAATAAATGTCTGGAATTAAGGGTCAAATGATGACCATGAAACCATTGTCGATTGTCAGGAAAAAGCCATCGGGTTAACTAATGTCCTTTAGAGAAGGAAACTGCCATCCTTACCTGGCCTGGCCTACACGTGACTCCAGACCCACTGCAATATGGTTGACACTTAACTGCCCTCTGGGTAATTAGGGATGGATAAATAATGCTGGCCTTGCCAGTGATGCTCACATCCTGTGAATGAATTAGATCCAGTCGCCATCTCTCCTGGTCAAAGGACCATCATCAAAAGCGATCACCTCTTTTCTCTTTGTACTCTTACATTAACTAACTACCTCCTTTCTTTATTCTTGCTCCGAGAGTAAAGGAACAGAAATGCAACACAGGCTCACACTCCCACTGACAAGAGCCCCCATCCCTTCCATAACCACGCACCCCAATCCCAATATCCGACTGACCATACATCACAGTGGCTCAGTCGTTAGCACCGCTGCCTCACAGCACCATGGACCTGGGTTCGATTCCAGCCTCAGGTGACTGTCAGTGTGGAGTCTGCACATTCTCCCCGTGACTGGATGGGTTTCCTACCACAGTCCAAGGATGTGCAGGTTAAGCTGGATTGGCCGTGCTAAATTTCCCATAGTGTTCAGGGATGGGCAGGCTGGGTGGGTTAGCCATGGGAAACGTGGGGTTATGGCGATAGGATGGGATGGGTTTGGCTGGGATGCTCTTTGGAGGGTCGATGTGGACTCAATGGGCTGAATCGTCTGCTTCCGTACTGTAGGGGATTCTATGACGCTCCCGAGGTATCTACTTCACTGGAGAGGCAGGCAGCCTGGTCAGCTGGTTGGTTTCAAGTAGGAAACTGGTTGGAAAAATGTGAAAAATGCCTTGGTCAAATAGAAAACCATCCGATCGGTTTCCCATCCGGAGTAAATGTGACCACCCAAGTCGATGTTAGGTGTCAAATCGACAAACAGAGAATATTGGAGCAGGAGGAGGCTATTCAGCCCCTCGACCTAGATACTGTGTTATTGAACTGGATCATGGCTGATCTGTACCTTAACTCATCTAAGAAAACATATAGAAAACACTAGCATCAATAACACCGTTCAAAGCGAGTGGATGAGGTAAACTATGAGAGAATAGGGCAAGGAGACAGAGATGCGAACAAGGGTAGGAGGGAAAAAAAGACTATAATTTTGAAACAGCAGAAATAAATCTGAAGCAGACAACACCCAGTGAAACAACCAAAAGAACAGAAACAACAATGAAAATGAGCAAAGCAGAGAGATTGAATAAAATCTTAGCAATCCAGGAGTAAACATAGAATCATAGAAAATAGGAGTAGGCCACTCTGCCCTTCAAACCTATTCCACTATTTAATATGATCATGGTTGATCATCCAACTCAGTACCCTGGTCCTGCTTTCTCTCCCTATCCTTTGGCCCTTCAGCCCTAAGTTCTTCTTGAAAGCATTCAACGTTTTGTCCTCAACTACTTATGATGATAGAGTCATACAGCACAGAAACAGATCTTTTGGACCAACTCATCCATGCCAACCAGATATCCTAAACTGAATTAGTCTTATTTGCCAGTATTTGGCCCATATCCCTCTAAACCCTTCCTATTCATGTACCCATCCAGATGCCTTTTACATGTTGTAATTGAACCAGCTTACACCACTTACTCTGGCAGCTCATTCCACATACACACCACCCTCTGTGTGAAAAAGTTGCCCGAGGTCCCTTTTAAATCTTTCCCCTCTCACCTTAAACCTATACTCTCTTGTTTTGGACTCCCCCACTCTGGGGAAAACACCTTGGCTGTTCATCCTATGTCCCCCATGATTTTATAACTTCTATAAAGGTCACTCTCAGCCTCTCTGACACTCCAGGGAAAAATGTCCCAGCCTATCCAGCCTCTCCATATAACTCAAAACCCTGCAGTCCCGGCAACATCCTTGTAATTTTTTTCTGTACCCTTTCTAGTTTAACAACACCCTTCCTATAGCAAGCTGACTGCTTTGATATAATTTCTTCTTATTTCAGTCCTAAACTCAGTTTAGGTTTCTCAGTTTCCTGAGAGTGCAGTTAGAATTTTATAAATTCTATGTGATCCCCCTATACTTCTAAACTCCAGTGAATATAGCCCAACTTGATCCCATCTCCCTTCGTACGTCAATCCTGCCTCCCAGGAATCAGACTGGTAAACCTTTGCTGCACTCCTTCCAATAAAAATAAGTCAGGATCAGCAACATTCCTGCCAAACTGCTGACAATGTTTCGTGCAGTACAAGGTGTGCATACTGCTTCCCAAACAAATGTGTAACAGCACATAGAAAAACAGTGTACAAGCATGAAAGAAAACCCCCGCACACAACCGGAAAAACTTTAAAAGACACTTTCAACAACAACAATTGCCCTTCCTCTGGTTGGGGATTCTAGAACCAGGGGACATAGTCTGAGAATTAGGGCCAGGCCATTCAGGAGAGATGTTACAAAGCACTTCTACACACAAAGGGAGGTAGAGTTGGAACTCTCTTCCACAAACAGCAGTGGATGCTAGACCAGTAATTAGTTTTAAAATTGAGATTATTACATTTTTGTTAACCAAATGTATCAAGGAATATGGGCCCTCTTCAAAATGGCAGTAGGTAGTGTTCGGGATCCTGAGCCCATCTTCTCCAGGCCGGCTGCATCCTTCTCTCTCTGTCTCGCTCTGTCTCTCTCCCTCCTTCTTCTTTCTCTTTTCTCTTTTCTTCACCTTCTGACGTCGTGGAGAAGTCGGTCTGGCATCAGGGGGTGGGGCATCAACTGCAGCAGTGAGAGTGCCCAAACTGAGGATTCCTGGCTGCAGTAGGCCCAGAGTGTAGACTTGGTGGGTCATCAGCTAACAGCGGTGACAGTTCCCGAAGCACAGCCTCCTGCCTGCAGTCGGCCTGAAGGTGGACTCTTGACGGGGTCTTCATTGCTGTACCCGGAATGGGGACTCCTAAAGGCCTGGGGTACATTGCTGAGACCTTGCAGAAGCCCTGGAGCTGTGTTTGAAGATTCCTTGTGCAGAGGATGAACTCTATTTTTGTATTTCTTTATATTCTTTTGCAACTCAAAATGGCGCAGGATTGTGGTAACACCAAGCACTTTGTACATTATGACCTGCCTGTACTGCATGCAAAACATAACTTTTCACTGTATGTAGGTACATGTGACAATAATAAATCAAATCAATCTTTTCACTGCATCTTTCTGGATATATGTGACAATAAATAACTCACTCACTCAAAGGCAAATATAGAGAGTTAGCCCACGAATCAGTCATAATCTCAGTGAATGGTGGAACAGACTCAAGGGGCTGAATGGCCAACCTCTGTTCCTATGTTCTCTCGCTGTTGGTGTGACTACCCATCTCTAGAGATTTGAAGCAGCATGGATTAACAGAATAGTTTGCAGAATGTCGTTGTCTCTAGTCCTTTCCTCTCTTGGTACATTGACACCTCGTTTATGTAGTGTGCATCATTTCAAACCCTAATCTCGGGTTGCTTCTCAATCAGTTGAAACACACAATGTCAGAATGAACCAGAGCAATGTTAAGGTCTGTGCAGACCCAGTTCAAACCAGGGAAACAATGACCAAAGACTGTATTATCCTGCTGTCCTACTGAGTCTTATATCAACAGAGTTGGGAGTATAACAGTTGGGAAGTCTTACTGCAACTGTACAAGGTGCTGGTGAGACCACATCTGGAGTACTGTGAGCAGTTTTGGTCCCCTTATTTAAGAAAAGTTATTATTTAATCGGTGGCAGCTCACTAGGATGATTCCTGGTATAGAAGGCATTATCTTACAAGCAAAGGTTAAACAGGTTGGGACTCTACTCACTGGCATGAGAGGTGATCTCATTGAAACATAAAGGATTCTTAAGGGGCTTAACAGGTTAAATGCTGAGGGGATGTTTCTTTTCATTTAACAGTCTAAGGGACATAATTTCAGAGTGAAGGGGCACTAATTTAAAATTGAGTTGAGGAGCAATTTCTTCTCTCAGAGGATTGAGTGTCTTTGGAATTCCTTGCCACAGAGAGCTGTGGAGGTAGAGTTCTTTGTATATTTAAAGCTGAGGTAGATAGATTCTTGATCAGTTGGGGAATCAAGGGTTATGAGGAAAATGCAGGAAACTGGATGGCAGAGCAGGCTTGAAGGCTGAATGGCCTATTCCAGTTCCTATTGCTTATGGTCTAATGGACCAGGGGATGTACAAAGTTATTGAACGTAACTCGAGCAAATGAAGGCACACAGAAACACAATTTCTTGAAACCATTGATAAAGCCTGGTTTTAACAGGAAGGTGCACCAATGCAGTTAAATAGAACCAGATCTCTGCAACAGTTCAGAGAGCTCTCAATCTCAACCAGCACGTGACAGAACAAAACCTTTCATTTATGCAGTGCCTCTCATGTTACATAGCAACATAAAGGATGGACGAAGCAGAAATTTAAAAAGGTAGTTGTTATGTTCAAATACTTACACAGCCTAAAATTCATAATGTGGTAATCTTGATAATTTTATTTTAAAAACACTCACCATCCACTCTGAAATAATAATGTCCACTTTAGCAACTGGAAGTTCAACATCCTCAATCCTTCCTCGAATGAGTGTGATAACACTATCCAGTTCATTTTCCCTAGCAGCAGAAACGAGAAGAGATTGCTAAACAACAAATGTACAAACAGGCAGAGAGTGAAATTTAAAATACAGGAGTCCAATAATTCAATTTCCTGACACTGACACTGATATATAGCATCCTGAAATCAGCAAAACCTCCCATGGGGGCTCACAGGCATGTTAAGAAACGGACAACTGATATTAAACAAAAAAAGGACACATTAGGGCAAGGGATCAAATTGTCACGGGTGCTCTGCCCAATGAGAAGTGTTTTGGCTCATTGTCTGCTGAGGCTTTGCCCCGATCTATTTTGTGCATTGCTGGACAAATTATACATTTTGTTGACACACTGCGACAAGCTCACAAGGGACTTTAAAGGGGAACAATGCTCTTACACTGGATATGGGGACAGTGTTAATTCATTAGTAAGTAGACTCTGATTGTTGCAGTCATAGAGTCATAGAGATGTACAGCATGGAAACAGACACTTTGGTCCAACTCATGCATGCCGACCAGATATCCTAAAGTAACCTAGTCCCATTTTGCCATGGAGAATGCACCAGTTAAATGATGACTGACAGTCAACAGCCAAGTTAGGCAAGCTTGGTACTACAACTTGATCATTTGTATACTGAGCTGCCTTTTAGGTACCTTTTGGTCAGAAGTTGCTTGCTTTAGCCTTTCACCTGTTGGACAAAAATTTGCTAATGCAAATTAAGCTACTTTAGCAATATAATTACAGTTGTGTGTCTACCTATAAATGTTCTGATAAATCTATAATGGGTGGATCAGGTGATCCGCAGACATTTCAGTTGACAGCTTTGGCCCATGATACCATGGGCTAATTAAATTATCAAAAAATAAATCTCAACTGGCCATCAATCACTTGGAAAGATGGCCATCTCACTAACTCTTACAACCTACCATTTACCCTCAATGCTCTACATTTTACACAGCCTGCCCTATTTCTGTGCTTCACTATTACACTTTAGTCCCACTCTACTCACATCCCAAACTCAAGCCTTGATCTTTATTTGATATAATATCCCACAGCCTCCATGTTCCTGAATGGTTGCTTTTGTCTCATTACTTTTAGCCACATGGGTCATACATACATCTGGAAAAGATTGGCAGGCTGGGTCTGTTTTGTCTCAGAAGAAAACAACACTGAGGTTGCAACTTTCCCATTTTTGATCAAAGTTGTTAGGCAGCTCTGTTAGGTGACTCCTGACACGCCACCCCAACTGGCAAGATAAGTCACAGGATAGCCCCCTAATCAACTTCAGAAGGGACAGGCAAAACAGGGGTGAGTTTCTTGGCCAATCACAGCCCTTGATACTGGCGCCATGGGTCAAACCATTAGCTGAGGCCTACTCCTCGGAGATCGAGTGGCCAGAAGGTAAGGCTTTACTTTCCATCATTTTTTACCACTGGGTAGAAGAGGCAGGGAAGACAGAGAGTGGGTAGAGGCAAGGGAATTTTAAAGTCTACCCAAGTACCCCATCGCAGCCCCAAACGGCCCTAGATTGGGCAACTGGAGACCCTGGTCACCAAACATAGGTTGGGAAAGTAAACGTCAGTGTGGACAGTTGGGCCAAATGGCCTGCTTCTGTGCCCATGTAGTTGCTTTGCCACCTGAGAGCTCAACACCTGATCCCTTCACACCTGTCTTCCTTCTGCCCATCTAACCCAAGTTGCAGCTTAGATCAGCAGGAGTTTGTCTCCAATCTGCAAATTCAGAAAATGCGCAGACGAACATGAGCAGATTGTCATGGAGACAGGAGGAGGCAAGGCAGAAGATAGGTGGCCTGGCAGAAAAATGATGATAAAATATAAAGGAAGAATGGCAAAAATAAGCAGAGATGCCAAGCAAGAAATAAGGCTTCCCATCTAAAGGCGTCACTATTAGGGGCCTAAACAGTTAATTTTTAGGCCTCCTTAGGAGTATTTCTCGAAGGATAGCTTTTGATTTTTGGGAACTACTTTTAAGTTTACGGAGCTACCCTTCATTGCCAATCACTCATTTATTTGCAGTCGTGCCGTAGCAATACCTTCTGTATTTGAGTTCACATCTGGAGGATTTAGACTCACAAAGAAGCAGAATTAGAAAACTTTAAAAGATGCAGGACGATAAGTAGAATGAAAGAGAAAAGCCTAATAAAGAGCTCAAAATCAGGCTAAAGGGAAAGGGAAAAGAGTACACAGACAACTTTTATTTCGTTCATAACAATTAAAACAGGAGATGAAAGAGATTGTCTTCTGGACAAAAAAGGTGGTGCAGAGTGGAACACAGCAAATTAACGAACTCATCCAAATAGTTTAAGACAGTTCACTGATAACCTTGGGCATATGGTATGCTCAGGGCACCTCAGTCAAAATTTATGGTGTAATTTCCTTGGCAAATAATTTCCACTCTATAAATGACAGACATTTTTCTTCCACCTGACACTGCTTACTGCAGAACAAATGTAAAAGAGAAGAGGTCACCCTGAAGCACCACACCATGCCGGGTTTAAGGCAACGTATTTGGTTCAACTTTATTTTCGTACTGTTTCAGAATGACAAACATGCATCGGGCTCTTTGTGTGTTCCCAGCTCTGTCCAAGGTTCTTTAGCGAGGAGGGAATGGAAAAAAAGCCAAGAACTTATCTCTGAGGAGTTAGAAAGTGGGGCAAAGGGAAAGCAGAGGGCATTCAAACCGAAACAAACCTGGGAAAATTCCCGGCAGTTTGAGGGCAAAAGGAATAATTGGATCTTGTAGTCATTTTGGTTCTCATTCTTGGTAACATGTTAATGAAGGTTTTGTTCATTTTAAATGACAAACTGCCAATAACGTCAACGGTTATTCTTCTACGTTGCACTACAACAGTTGAGATGACAGATAAGCAACTTACATTCAGGCTTTACAAAAAAATTACGCTCAGGATTGTCCCACAGAATAAATACTGTAACAGCAGGGTTTCGTTCACTTTTCCATTCCTCTCTCTCACTATGGAAGCCTGCGCTACACGTGTCAGCACTATGCCAATTGGGAGCATGAAATCAGAAGATGAAAGGTAGAAAGGGCAAAGGAAGATGAGAAATTTGCTTAGTCTAGTGAGTTGCTATGAATGCACTGCCCAGAAGGCTGCTGGTAGCAAATTCAATCATAACGTTCAAAAATGATTGTAAAAGGGGAAAGAAAATATACTGATAAGGGGAAAGAGCAAGAGAGCCACAACACAAAGTCCTAGCACAGGCAGAATGGGCTGCATGGTCTTCTCCTGTGCAGTAAGCTCCGAGCAAAAAGGTCTGCCAAGTTCCATCACTCGTGGTGCGGCCCATTTCTCTCTGAAACCACCGGAATGATCCTGGATGGTTTTACTGGATACAACTCTGCTTCCACCCTTCCTCGTTCCCAATTCACCATGTTCAATGCAGCTAAGGCGAAAGAAAAAGCATCATGGTCCCCCTGTGATAATATTTTGAGCCTGAAAATGTCATTTCCCTACAGGATAAGACGAATGCAATCAAATCATGATCGCATATCATCCAACGGCCAGTACCTGCAAACTTGGGCTCAGTTTAGCTCAGTCGTCTCTCTCTGATGACAGGGCCACCCAATGGTCTGGGAAGACTATGATGACTTTGCCGTTACCTGGAGAGGTCTCGGAAGGAGGGAAGGTACAGATAGGTATTCTGCACAACTTTGAAATGAGTTGCTGTTAACCACAGCAAATTACAGGACACTAATTCAACGCTAATTGTCAGCTTCCTCCATGAGACATAAAAGAGATTTGTTAAAGAAATTAACAATATTCTTTCTAATATTTCATATAATCATAGAATCCTTACAATCCCATCGAGTTCATGCCAACTGTCAAAAGAGCATCCCACTCAGACCCAACCTCCCCCACCCTATCCCTTTAACCCTGCGTTTCCCATGGCTACTCCACCTAGCCTGCACATCCCTGGATACTACGGGCAATTTAGTATGACCAATCCACCCTAACCTGTACATCTTTGGACTGTGGGAGGAAACCGGAGCACCCGGAGGAAACCCACGTAAACACAGGGAGAACATACAAACTCCACACAGACAGTCACCCGAGGGTGGAATCGAACCCGGGTCCCTGGCACTGTGAGGCAGCAGTGCTAACCACTGAGCCACCGTGGTGCCATGCATTTGTTCATGGAAAGTGGGCATTGCTGGCTAGGCCAGTATTTATTGCCCATCCATAAATGTCCAGAGGTCAGTTAAAATCAACCACATTGCTGTAGGACTAGAGTCACAAATGGGCCAGACAAGGTAAGGAGAGCCGTTTCCTTCCCTGAAGGACAACAATGAACCAAATGAGTTTTTACAACAATGTTTACATCGTCACTATTAGGTTACCTTTTTATTGAATTCAAATTTCACCACCTGCCATGATGGGGTCCAGAGTACTAGCCTGGGGTTCTGGATTCCTCATCCAATGGCATTATCACTGTCTCCCCATTGATAAAAGGCACAACAGACAAGTAACTTGCAAATGAGGGTTGAAAATGCAGCAATCTGATTTCAGGGACACACACTGTTTGCATGGAACAGACCAAAATTCACATCAATACCGCAAAACACAAGCCAAAACATGGTGTGACGTCACCACAGTTTTTTGTCACTTTGCACTTTAAGCATCTCACTAACAGCATCAAGAAGCAAAAATCAAACATTTGAATAGGAGTTATTAAGGTCAGACAGTCTTCCCACGGGATCTATAAGCCCAGAGTCCGAGGATGTTCTCAGCGTCAGTGTCCCATAGATCATGTTAATCTGATCATAATCCCATAGTGTTTTAAACTGCAAGTCTTTTCTCTTGCATCAATGAAACACATTTTGCTAGCTGTTTTGCTCATTGACTGCCTGCAGCTGAAGTAATGAGGAACAAGTCCACACCATCACTAGTTCTGTTTCTCCCTTAGTGTTGTTTATTGTGAGTCTTTAGCCGCAAACACTGAAATCCAAACGGCAAGCAACTTCTACTCTTAAGTTTTAATGATTCTCTGCCCCACTAGGCAACATATCCATCTTCCTGAATATGCTATTATCATGACAACTTATATTACTTGGGACAGAATAATTACTCAAGCTGGTAAAATTTATATCCTGGGCACGATCCTTATCACTGTCCATTTTCTGTTATCTCATCCTCCCAGCATCCCTAATCAGTCTCCTGCCTGACTTTCAAGGCAAAAGAATGATCTCATTAAAACAGTAATTTTAAGGACTGAGCCTGAAACAATAATTAGGAAAGCACAAAGACAAAATCCAAGACCCAAATCCTTTTTACCTTACAATATCCATGGCCTGGTAAATGATCTCAGATTGGTCCACTCCGATCACGCGCTTGGCCCCTGCTTTGGCAGCAAACATGGACAAGATCCCAGTTCCACATCCAACATCCAAAACTACCTGGAAAGTCATTTTAATACTTTACCGTTTCAAATGAGGGTAACAGAGGTAGCATAAAACATATCAGAGTTAAAGTACAGGATCTACAACTTAAAAAGTATACATTTCTCAAAATTATCTCTTTCTTCCCTCTCTACATGAATTGCTTGATCCTGGCTGTATTAAATGGCAGGGCCCCATGTGTAAATTTGCACAGAGGGGTTTGGAAGGCTAGTGCAAGGGGGAACTCCACTGACACACACTGGGCAGCCATCAGGACTCAGCAGAACATTCCTCTGAGTATTAAAGGCAGGTTCTTTTGGTGAGAAAGGGAGTGAAATGTGGAAGCGGGGGGGCTTGGGAATGCAGCAATAGGGCCTGCAGTAACTCAGTAGTTAGCTCTGCTGCCTCACAGCGGCAGGGACACAGGTTCGATTCCACCCTCGGGCAACTGTCTGTGCAGAGTTTGCACGTTTCTCCCCGTGTCTGCGTGGGTTTCCTCCGGGTGCTCCGGTTTCCTCCCACGGTCCAAAGATGTGCAGGCTAGGTGGATTGGCCATGCTAAATTGCCCGTAGTGTCTACATGGCTGAGCATGGGAAATGCAGGGTTACAGCGACAGAACGGGGAGTGGGTCTGGGTGGGATACTCTTCAGAGCGTCAGTGTGGACTCATTGGGCCGAATGGCCTGCTTCCACATTGTAAAGATTGTATGATCTTATGATGATCTAATTGAACGGTGGGGGGTCACATGACTTGCTCCTGCCCCTGCTTTTAATTTGTGTGCTCCCCTCCTTCGCCTCAACATTTTTTAACAAGTTATTCACTTGTGGGATGTGGGTGTCAATGGCTGGGACAGATTTATTGCCCATCCCTGGTGTCCTTGAGAAGGTGGCAGTGCGCTGTGGCTTGACCCACAATGTCCTCAGGAAGGGAATTCCAGAACTTTGTCGCAGTTACATACTGTAACTGGTGTTTTGATCTCTTCTGGTGAGCGACGAACTGCTTCTTACCCATGGCACTGAACAACCGCAGCACCCTGTGCTGTTCAAGAGGTTCATCGTTAGCTACATGAAGTTGCACTAAAGATAGTGATTCTAGACCTAATTTGGCATGATGCACAAAAACCGATTTTTAAAATTTTATCAAAAGCCTCCTCATTCTTATCTCAAGATCAAAATCACCACTCAAAATGTCACTCAAAACTTTTTCTAAACTTAAAAAGTTAACTTTTAACTTAAAAAGTTAATTTAAATTAAATTTGCGAACATGCTTTATTTCATTTGGTGTGTGGGTCAGAAGAATAAAAAGAGGGAGATTTGTTTGATTTAATAAACGAACAACAGCTTTTACTTCCCTTGCCAAAACTACCCACAAAATGTTGCTTTGAATGAAGCAGGGTGAAATGAAAGTCATCAATTGCAGTATAATTTTTTAAAACACACAGCAGTCACCATCCAGTCGTAGAGTCATAGAGTTGTGCCACATGGAAACAGAACCTTCGGTGTTACTCATCCACGCCAACCAGATATCCTAAATTAATCTACTTCCATTTGCCAGCATTTGGCCCATATCCCTCTAAATCCTTACTATTCATATAACCATCCAGGTGCCTTTTAAATGTTGGAATTGTACCAGCCCCCACCACCTCATTCCATACACACACCACCCTCTGTGTGAAAAAGTTGCCCCTTCAGTCCCTTTTATATCTTTCCCCTCTCACCTTAAACTTGTGCCCTCCAGTTTTGGATTCCCCTAACCTAGGAAATACACCTTGGTTATTCACCCTATATATGCCCCTCATGATTTTGTAAACTTCTATAAGGTCAACCCTCAGCCGCCAATACTCCAGGGAAAAGAGCCCCAGCCTATTCAACCTCTCCCTCTGGTTCAAACCCTCCAACCCTGGCAACATCCTTGTAAATCTTTTCTGAACCCTTTCAAGTTTAACAACATCTTTCCTATCGCAGGGAGATCAGAATTGAATGCAGTATTCCAAGAATGGCCTCACCAATGTACTGCACAGCCACAACACGACCTCTCAACTCCTTTACTCAATGCACTGACCAAGAAAGGCAAGGGTACCAAACATCACCTTCACCACCCAGAAGTTGCTGGAAAAGCTCAGCAAGTCTAGCAGCATCTGTGAGGAAAAAATCAGACGTAATCTTTCGGGTCCGGTGACCCTTCCTCAGAACTGACGATAGCTGGGAAAACGTCAGTTTACATGCAAAAAACTGGGAGAGGGGGTGGGGTAGGGAGTAAACGATAGGATAGAGCCTGAAGAGAGAGAACAGCAGTTGGACAGACAAATGAGTTGATAACCCAAAATGTTAACCCTGATTTTTTTTCTTCACAGATGCTGCCAGACCTGCTGAGCTTTTCCAGCAACTTCTACTTTTGTTCCCAATTTACAGCATCCGCAGTTCTTTCGGTTTTTATCACCTTCACCACGCTGTCTGTCTATCTGTGACTCCACTTTCAAGGAACTATGAACCAGCGATCCAACTCATCCACGCCAACAATTTATCCCAAACTAAACTAGTCCCATTTGCCTGTGTTTGATTGATATCTCTCTAAATCTTTCCTGTTGATGTACCTGTCCAAGTGTATTTTAGATGTTGTAATTGTACCCACCTCTACAAACGTCCTCTATCTGTGCATTCCATACTCGTATCACCCTCTGTGCGAAAGCAGGCCTCTCATTAGCCATCTTCAATATTCATTTCCTCCACCACTGATGCTCATTACCAACAGTGTGCATCAGCACAAGATGCACTGCAGGATTTCACCACGGCTCCACAGACAGTACCTTCCAAACCCACAGCCCCCACCATCCAGAAGGACAAGGGCAGCATATACGTAGAAACACACCAACTGCATGTTTCTGTATACACACTTCCCTGATTTGGTACTGTACATCACTCTTCCTGCACCGCTGCCAGATCAAAACCCTGGAACCCCTTCCCGAACCACCCTGTGGATGTCCCTGTAACCTAAAGACTGCTGTATTTCAACAAGGTGATTCCTCAACACCGTGCCATGGAAAAGTAGAGATGGACAAGAAAAAAAAACTCAATACTCACCTGACTGGTGACGCCCACATCCCATAAAAGTGAACAACAAAAAACTTCAGGAACTTATTAAAAATTGCTCTATTCTCCACTTAATTAATGTGAACCCAGTATTTAGAAAACTAAAAATGAGCTTGCCTCTTTGCTGACAACCAAAACAAGATCCAAAATTACATTTTCTAAGAAAATACTGAATCAATTTGATATTTTGTCATGTTAAGCTATCACATTGTGAACAAGCATTGCTCAGTAATGTACTATAGTCTCAAAGGATTAACTACAGCCATTAGATAGCTTCTCATTCATTGTATTGTCCAACTATGAATACTGTTTGTAATTCCAACCATCCCCCCACAACGATGCTAGAGCTTGCACCAAAACATCACCAAACCAAAAACTGGATTAAATGCAACAATAATCATGTACTCTCTCCATACAGGGAAGCGCGCAATGTTATTTAATCTGTTTTCATTCATTTAAATATAAAGTTGGTTAAAATGGGTAATAAGATCTATATTGGAGAGGAAAAATTCGAGGACTGCAACTTTGAATAGATGCTTAGCTGTAGGATTTCATTCGACTTAATAAATTAATGTGGTATATTACCATAAATTTCCTACATTTCAGTTAAAGTTCCTTCAAGATTTCTGATGACAGCGAATAGGAAACCTTTGATAAAGCAGCTGTAATAATGTGGGATCACGTTTACGAGGACTGCACTGAACTGCAACAAACAGACTTTTATCAGTAGCTCTGCTCATCCATGTATTCTACATGGGAAATGCTGTCAATGCAAAATTAATTCAGCTCGTTTTAATGCACAAGATAAGAATGGATTTTCAAACACATTTCAGAAGCAGAGATATTAAAGGACAATGAAAATCTAGCATCAAACCTAAACAGCTTTTGGCCTTAGGTTCTTGTCTTAGTCTTTTTAAATAAAGATTTTGCATTAAACAAACACTGAATAGATATCAGCAGACTTTTAATTCTCTACAATTAAGAGGAGCTGCGTTACACAATTGTGTGGTACAACAACAATGTGCATTTATACAGCACCTTTAACGCGCAGAAGTATGGATGGCATGTTTGCGGGAGTCAATGATATGCTGTATCCCCCACAAGGACAAAACCCAGGCCACCAGTCTCATACTGAACTCCTCAAGAAAAGGAGGGAAAACAGGAGTGGGGGGAAATAGGAGGAGAGAGGAAAGGAGGAGAAGGAGGGAGAAAAAGAGGAGGATAGGGAGAACAGAGGGAAGAGGAGGAAGAGAGAAATGAAGAGGGTGGAAATGGAAGAGGAGGAGGGGAAGATAAGGTGGAATAACAGAATAATGAAGGAATCAAGGAAGAAGGAAGTGAGGAAAAGAGAGTGGGGGAGAAGGGCAGGGAAGGAGTAGGGAGGGAGGGAGAGGGAGAAGTGCGGGAAGGAAAAGGGAAGGGAAGCAGAGGATGAGGAGAGAAAGGAACAGAAGGAAGAGAGAAAGGAAAGGAAGGAAGCAAAGGAGAAGACAGCAGAGAAAGAGGAAATGGAGGAAGAGGAAGCAGGACAAAGATAAAGGAGGAGTGGAAGCAGGGCAGGAGGCAGTTGAAGTGGAAAAGGTATGATAGCATGAGTTAGAAAGGAGGAAGGAGAGAAAGAGGAAGTGGAGGAAAAGGAAGCTGTTACATTCTCCCTCCAGCTGGGCAGTCTGTGATCACCTTTTCCCTGAACATAGCCTCAAATCACATCACAAATCAGCTGTTTGCAGGGCTATTTGATACAGCGTGGCATCAAGGAACTCGAGCAAATCTGGAGTCAATGCGAATTGGGGTTGAGCAAGGGACACTGTCCACTGGTTGGAGTCATATCTGGCACATAGGAGGATGGTTGTGGTTGTTGGAAGACAGTCATCTCAGCTACAGGACATCTCTGCAGGAGTTCCTCGGGATAGTGCCCCAGGCCCAACCGTCTTTAGCTGCTTCATTAATGACCTCCCCTCCATCATAAGGTCAGAAGTGGGGCTGTTTGCTGATGATTGCACAATGTTCAGCACTATTCGTGACTCCTCAGATACTGAAGCAGTTCATGTTCAAATGCAACAAGATCTGGACAATATCCAGGCTTGGGATGACAACTGCCCAGTAACACTTGTGTCGTACAAGTGCCAGCCAATGACCACCTCAAACAAGAGATAATCTATTGATCGGCCCTTGGCACTCAATGTTATCACCGTTACTGAATCGCCCAATATCAACAACCTGGTGGTTATCATTGACCAGAAACTGAATGGGACTAGCTATATCAATCCTGTAGCTACAAAAGCAGGGTCAGAGATTAGGAATCCTGCAGCAAGTAACTTACGTCCTGTCTGCCCAAAGCCTATCCACGGTCTACAAGGTAAAGTCAGAAGTGTGATAGAATGTGTGTATTGGAGTGGTGATGGCCTTTGGTGTTATTGCTAATCTATTAATCCCTTGGCCCAAGTAACATTTTGGGGACAAGGGTTCAAACCCCACTTTAGCAATTGATACAATTTAAATGCCATATAAATCTAGAATTAAGAGTCCAGTAATGATCATGAAACCATTGTGAGATTACCAGGAAAACCCAATCTGGTTCACTGTCGTCCTTTTGGGAAGGAAATCTGCATCAGTACCTGGTACATGTGACTCCAGGCCCATAGCAATATGGTGGACTCTTAACTGCCCTCTGGGCAATTAGGGATGGACAATAAATGCTGCCTAGCCAGCAACATGCACATCCTGTTAATGAATTTATAAAAAGTGGAGAGCAATAGTTCAGGAAGGAAACTCATCACCAACTTCTCAGCTGCAACTCAGGGATGGGCAACCAATGCCAACGCAGCCTGCAACATCGACATTCCCGCAAACGAGTAGAGAAAGAAAAAAATCAATCGCAGCTAGAAAAGGAAGTTAAAGATTAATAGTTGAAAGGTAGTGGTTTATGAGATTGCCAGAAAAAACATGATAAGCGTGAGCATTGGTAAGATGCAGAAAGAGGCAATGAAAAGGCAGACTGTAAAAGCTTCTTTCACAATGTGAATGGAAATAAAAAACTAGCAAGGTCAAAAGTGCATCCAGTGCAGATAAAGACAGGGGAACGTATAACTAAGAATGGAGAATGCTGGAGAAAACTGAACAATTACTTTTGTGTCTTTCTTCATGGAAGAAGATAGAGAAAACCTCGGGGAATGTAGTGAAACCAAATGATTTGTGAAAATGAGGAACTGGAAGAAATTAGTATCAACAACAATGCTGTATTCAAAAGATTAATTGATTTGAAGGTTGCTAAACCCTCTAGAAAAGCTGCAGAGTGTTTTGGAGTGGGTGAGGTGGATTTAGGAGTCTGTTGGAAGTACAAAAAAAAGCAACCAAACTCAATGACATAAAATCTGGGACAAATGTCCTTGACATAACTCGCAATGGAGAGGTCAGATAATAGAAGCTGAAAAGAGGAAAATATGTCACACAGTGCAGGAGTAGGGGATTATTTTTGATGTCTCAGTGTGAAACCATAGCTGGCGGGGATAAGTAAGGAAGTTTACACCCAACAAAGGGTGCAAACCTGTTCCTCTGATGCTGCCTGACCTGCTGTGTTCCTCCAGCTCCACACTGTATTGATTCTGACTCCAGCATCTGCAGTTCTTGCTATCTCTAAGTAAGTTCGTTGTTAACAGCAACTTGAACTGTGCAATCTTAAATTATTAAACTACAAGGAGCTGGTCTGTTACCATGAGTACACTGAATTTTACATATTACTTTTATGACATTAACCATCTTCAATTGCACAAACAATGGCACCCTTTCTCAAAACAGAACTATCAAATATTTGCATGCTGAAAAGCACATGATAGATTCAATCCAAAATGTACATTCCAAAGGAAAAGCCATATCACTAGATTTTGAAGAAAAGAAGTGCAAACAGGTATCTAGTTAATGTATCAAGAGTAATGGTCATTGCACTTTGGAAAAGCCTTTCTTTTGTGAAATACCGTCACTTCCAAAGTGAAAACGAGGAAAATTTTGAAAAGGGCTAATTGGTCTTGGGTATGAAATTATTTCAGGGAGATGTTAAATACTGACTGAGGTTGCTATGGATATGAAAGCTTAAAACCAATGGCTAATTAAAGGAACCAAAGTGGCATCAAGTTCGAGACTGTTTTACTGCTACAGGCTCAATTGCAAAACACAAAATTTGTGTCAGAAGCACCAAGCAAAGCTCTCTACAACAAAAACTGGTTTTCTATTTGGCAGAAAGAACAAGTAAAATTCCAGAAATTCTTGGGGAAGTGATTTTTTTTATTCATTCACGGGATGGGGGCATCACTGACTAGGCAGCATTTATTGCCCATCCCTAATCCCGCCATGGCAGATGGTGGAATTTGAATTCAATAAATAACTGGAATTAAGAATCTAATGATGACCATGAATCCATTGCCAATTATCAAGAAAAACCCATCTGTGTCACTAATGTCCTTTAGGGAAGGAAACTGCCATTCTTATCTAGTCTGGCCTACAATGTGACTCCAGACCCATAGCAATGAGATTGACTCTCAACTGCGCTCTGAAATGGCGCAGCAAGCCACTCAGTTCAAAGCCAGCTGGGGACAGGCAATAAATGCTGGCCAGCCAGCAAATAGCCTCCTTATGCGCTTCTGTGAAGTCATCCTCGAGCCCAAAGGACTGCCGAAGAAGGACAGGGAATGTTATCTGAAATGAAGTCATGCCCAGATAGTTGTTTTATAAATATCCCATCGCCACATCCTTTATAATAAGATTCCAGCATTTTTCCTCCTACTGATGTGGACATGCCGGTATTGGACTAGGGTGGAAGGACTTCAACTGACGAAGGAGCAGCACTCTGAAAGCTTGTGACTTTAAATAAACCTGTTGGGACTATAACCTGGTGTCGTGTGACTTCTGACTTTTTTCCTACTGCTGACATCAGCTAACAAGTCTGTCATTCCCCATATTTTCTTGCCCGACCTTTTTTAAACAGCGTGGTAACATTTGCAACCTTCCAATAGCAGAATTAATAAAATTTTGAAAGGCGATCACCGATGCATCCACTACTTTTGTGACTTTGTGATTTAATTTATTTTGCTAGTTATTTCATCAAGGAATGGTCAATCCTGCACCTGCATGGTACAATATTTCACCATGGACTTTGTTTCTCCCAGGTGAGAAATATCTGATGAAACCCAACTCTGGCTTTAACACTGATTCCTGTGTGAGCACATGATTCACTTAAAATTGCTCCACTTAAGAAAAGTCACGACTTTCAGGAACACAGTCATAACTTTAAGTGAAGATTTACTGTGGTATCAGTAACTGAACATATATAACTTTAATTTCAGGGAGCACAGATTATAAATGATTGAAGAGGAGGTCAATAGAGGATTCAGGTTTAACTTCTTCAGCTACCAAAGGTTAAACTGCTAAGGAATCAGAGGAAGAACAGAGTATTCATACATTCAAGAGGGAACTGAAGGGGCTTTAGACAAAAATGAAATGGGAACATAATGTGTTTCTCTTAACACTTTGTGGTTACCGAAACAAACTGCAGCCCAACACATTCCTACATTTCTATGCATTTCCCAGCTTCTACAAGCAAGGTGCAAATAAACAATGCAAAATTGCATTTCCCAGCTGTCCCATTATATGTAGCAGATAACAGTTATGGGATACTGCACTGTACAATGACAACAATGATCTGTACTTGCGTTATCAGTACCCTCCAGTCTCTGCTTGCTGTAAAAAAACATCCATACCGTAATGAACTCCGGGGCTACTGAATCAAATCCTTTCAGGGACAAACTCTATTGCTAGTGATTGCCTACTTCTGGAGGCTTCTAGCTAAACACTGCAGCTCCTGCACGACTGGTGATGTTGCTCTTACCTTGTCCTTGAAAATATGGGGGTTGCAGTACATGAAATCCCTGTAGCTCTCAGTCCGCACTTTATCCTGCAAATTTACAGTCAAGCAAACACAGTTTAAATGATGAACCTTAAAATGCATCCATTGTTAAAATATTCATAATTTCTTCCCTTCTACTTATTATACAAATGACATGAGCGTATTTACTTTGCATATGTATTTAAAGGTCAAAAATTCATCCTGACTGCTAGCTCAGAATTTTGCATGTCTGTGCTTTGGTCAAATGCACATTCTAATCCAAAACCAAATCCTCCTCTAGCTAGAAGTAAAAGTAGCAAAATACTGGAAACATTCCAACATTTGACAGAAATTTTGGAAAGTAATTTTCTCTCTGTAAGACTGTGAACAGAGGTCTACTGCTTTTTTGTTAAAATTTGATTGGTAACTTTTAAAAAGATATTATTTGACAAAAGTTGTGTGGTATTGTCCATCCCTAATTGCTCAGAGGGCAGTTAACATTCAACCACATTGCTGTTTGGAGTATGCAGACCAGCAGAATGAATCAAATGGGTTTTAACAACAATTAACAGCTTTTTTTTATTCATTCACTTTGGGGATGTGGGTGTCACTGGCTAGGTCAGCATTTATTTCCCATCCCTGACTGATTCTCAACCTCAACCACATTGCTGTGGGTCTGGAGTCACATGTAGGCCAGACCAGGTGAGGATGGCAGTTTCCTTCCCTAAAGGACATTAGTGAACCAAATGGGTTTTTCCAACAATTGGTAATGGATTCATGGCCATCATCAGACTCTTAATTCCAGATTTTTATTGAATTCAGTTTCCCCCATCTGCCTTGGTAGGATTTGAACCCAGAACACTACCTGGGTCTCTGGATTAACAGGCCAGTGAGAATACCACCGGGTATTCCATCGTCTCCCCTTAGGTGGTGGGGACAGAAGTGGTTATAAAGGTCACCATTAGGCTAGTTTTTAATTCCAGATTTCACTGAATTCAAATTTCATCATCTGCCACAGTGGGACCTATGTCCCTCATTACATTAACCTGGGGTTCGGGATTACTAGTCCAGTGACATTATCATTACACTCCTGCCTTTCAAAAACTAAATTGCAAATTGGTGGCAATGAGTGAAGCCTGGCTCACAGCAGACATAGCAATCTTTACCACAGTCCCAAAAGAAGGCCACTTTGGCAGCTGAACTTGCTCAGACATCCAGAAACAGAGGACTCAGTATCAATTGCCAAAGCACTCGGTCGGAAAGTGATCATACCAACAGAGCCAAGAGTCCACAATAATCAGCTCTGCCTGAACTTCATCAATTACAGCTCTTGATGTAATTTTAAGCATCAGTGCTTCTGCAGTTATTTGTTTTTTACTTTATAAAACTCAAAAGAGAATCCACTTCATGTTGTCCCCTGAAGACGGAAATGTATGCATTTGGTCACTTTATAGATTACGTTAAAAAAACTTCAGCCCCTTCAACCTGGTTCATGGTTAAATTTCATTGTGACTTATTTCCTCTCAGGTGTAAAAGAATCTTTAGAATTCTCTTCTCTCGAGAGTGGCACATGACACTAACATACTGTCAGCACAGTGGAGCTTAAGGAATGGGAATTACTATGTGTTAAAACACTGGCAGCTAAATTTAGGATGCAATTTAGTTTACAGAGGTTAGAATTTGGGAGACATAGAGTCATAGAAATGTACAGTACGAAAACAGACCCTTTGGTCCAACTTGTCCATGGTGACCAGATATCCTAAATTAATCTAGTCCCATTTGCCAGCATTTGGCCCATATCACTCTAAACCCTTCCTATTCATATACTCATCCAGATGCCTTTTAAATGTTGTCATTGTACCAGCTTCCACGTCTGGCAGCTCAATCCACACACCACCCTCTGCGTGAAAGAGTTGCCCCTCAGGCCCTTTTTAAATCTTTCCCCTCTCACCTTAAACCTATGCCCTCTAGTTTTGGATTCCCCTACCCTGAGGAAAAGACCTTGACTATTTACCCTCTCTATGATGCTCATGATTTTATAAACCTCTATAAGGTCACCCTTCAACCTCCAATGCTCCAGAGAAAATGGCCCCAGCATATTCAGCCTCTCCCAGTAACGCAAACCCTCCAACCCTGGCAACATCCTTGTAAATCTTTGACAGAACAATTAATATCTTTAAGATTGATGTCCTTCCTAGTCAGGAATCGATTGTTACTGGGGGAGAACAGGAATGTGAAGTTATGGCCACAATCATACTCAACGGCAGAGCAGGGTCAAAGGGCTGAGTGGCCTACTCTTGCTCCTTAGTTACGTTCACGTGACTGATCTGTACCTCATCCCTATTTAACAGCATTTGTGCCAACTGACTGTTCAGTATCAGAATCAATGTTTCGGATTGCGAACCACACATAATGTTTACAAGATTACAGATGACACAAACCTAAATGGGAGTATGGGTGTTGTAAGCACAATGCAGGCTGGTTTCAAAGGGGCTTGGACAGGCTCAGTGCGTGGTATGTGATTTGGATAAGTGTAAGGTTATCACTTTGGTTGGAGAAATGGAGATACAGAGCATTTCTTAAGATTTGGGAAGTTGGGAAATGTTGGGTATGGGTGTCCTTGTTCATGAGTCACTGAGAGCTAGCATGTAGGTACAGCAAATAATTTGCAAAGCAAATGTTATGTGGGCCTTTATCACTAAAGGATTAGAGTACAGAAGTAAGGATGTCTTGCTCCAATGCATCGAATCTAAATAAGATTGCATCTGGAGTAATGTGCGCAGTCTGGTCCCCTCCCCTGAGGAAAATGTTGTATTTGGATTTCCAGAAGACATTCAACAATGTACCTCACAAAAGATTAAATGTTAAGATAAGAGCCCATGGTGTCCAAGGTAGTATACTGGCGTGAATAGAGAATTGGTTAATGGGCAGGAATCAATGAGTAGGAATAAAGGGGTCATAGTCTGACTGGCAACCTATAACCATTGAGGTTCCACAGGGAGCAGGTTGGGACTGCAACTGTTTACAACATTTATTAATGACTTGTAGGAAGCAAATACACTGTAGCTAAATTTTCAGAGAACACAAAAATAGGTGGAAAGGCAAGCTGCAAAGGGGATACAAACAGTTTACAGAGATATTGATAGGTCATGTAAGTGTGCAAAAAGTTGGTAAATGGCGTATAATGTGGGAGAGTGTAAAGTTGTTCATTTTGGAAGGGAGAGCAGAAGAACAGAATATTACTTTAGGGAGAAAAGCTGCAATACAAATGGACTTGAGGGTAGGAAGCACAGAAATCTACTACACAGGTGAGGCAGGGAATCAGGAAGGCTAATGGAAAGTTGGCCCTTATTTCAAGGGGGTTGAAGTATAACAACTATAACTTGCAACTGTACAAGGTGCTGGTAAGACCACATCTGAAGCACAATGAGCAAAATAAAGGGATCAATTGTATGTAAGGGAAGATATCATTTCATTGGAGGCAGTTCAGGGAAAGCTCACTGGGATGATCCCTGGTATGAAGGGATTGTCTTATGAGCAAAGATTAACAGGTAGGAATGTTACTCACTGGAATTTAGAAGAATGAGAGGTGATGTCACTGAAACATATAGAATTCTTAAGGGCCTTGATAAGCTCAGTGCTGAGCGAATGCTTCCCCTCATGGGAGAGTCGAGGATCAGAGGGCATAGTCTCAGAATGAAGGGGTGACAATTTAAGAATGAGATGAGATGCAATTCCTCTTTCAGACGGTTGAGGGTGTTTGGAACTCCTTGCCACAGAGAGCTGTGGGTCCTTGTGTATATTTAAGGCTGAGACAGATAGATTCTTGATCAGTCGGGGAATCAAGGATTATTGGGAAACACAGGAAAGTGGACATGTCCTGGTCAGTAGGGAAATCATGGCAGAGTAGGCTCAAGGGGCTGAACGGCCTACTCTTGGTTCTATTTCTTACAGTCTGATGAACATTGAAGGAATGCAGCAAAGGCTCACCAGCTTGAATTCTGTTCCGAGGAGAGACTGAGGAGACTAGGTCTGTATCCTTTGGAGTTTAGAAGAATGAGAGGAGATTCACTGGAAACAATAAAATTGTCAAAAGGATAGACAGAGTGGATGCAGGAAAGATGTTTCACTTGCGCTGTACGATGTGGATTCAGAGGAACAAAGGCTCACAACAAAGGGCAGGTCATTTAAGGCTGAAATGGGAAGGAATTTCTTCACCGAGAAAGTGGTGAACTTTTAAAATTCTCTACCCCAGAGGGCAATTCTAAAACTCTATCATTGAGTATGTTTGAAACAGAAACCAACAGCTGCCATGAAGGGAAGTAGAGACAGTGCAGGAACTTGTCATTGAGGTAGGTGATCAGCCACAAAGTGGAAAATCAAAAGGATCGAGGGGCTGAATGCCCTACTCCTGCTTCTATGTTCCCTTGTCCTTCTCCACCCTTATCGAATACAAATTGACCTTTAAAATTTCGACTGAACCAGCAAGAGCTCTTTGGGAAAAGAATCCTGGATTTCCAATTCTGTGTGTGTGGAGAAACTCTTCCTTAATTTCACTGCTATACAGCTCCAAGTTCTGTGTTCAAATTGCATCAATAAAGGAAAGAGTTTCTCAGCCACCCTTTCAAATCTGCTTTTCATTTTCAATAGCTTGATTGCTCACCCCTCAAAATAACTGCACAGAGGCTGGTATCCCATCACCAAGTCACCCTTTACTTACATGTGCACAGTACACAGGCTGTGACCAGCCAGCTCGGGGTCAGTCCCTCAACTGAGGAGATTCTAAATCTCCTGGTTATATTGGTCAGCCAGAGATTTCCCAATTGGTGAACAACCCCTATCAAGGACCTCGTAGTCAACAAGGTCCACCTGGTTCCAAACACTACACACCTCTAAGCTCTAAACCACACACCACATTTGCGCAATAAAGATAGAAATTGGTGAAAAGAAAAACTCAGCAGGTCATGTTTTCTTTTCTCTCAGAGGTTTGAGAGTCTTTGGGACTCCGTTTAAATATTTTTAAGGCAAAGGTAGATAGATAAAGAGGGCTGGATAAGCAGGAATGTAGAGTTGAGGTTAACATCAGATCATCCATACTGAATGGTGGAACAGACTCGAAGGGCCGAACGGCCTATTCTTCAGCCTTGCTTTTATGTTCATATGTTAAGTAGCAAACACGTAGGGAGAGAATCAAATTTCATGTTTCAAGTCTGTGACCACTCATCAGGGAAAAGTTAGAGACATAATTGGGGCAAGGACAAAAATAGAGGTCTGCGATAAGGTGGAAAACAGGAGAGACTGAATGGCAGGAAAATTAGTCTTCCAGGGCCAAAGGGAATGATGCTGAGGACAAGAAAAGAAAGAAAGAATGTACCCAGAGCAGCTGTGTTTCTGAAAGAAATAAAATAAGCAAAGAGAACAAACTGGATAAAAACCAAAAGAACTGGAGAAGCTGTAAATCAGAAACAAAAACAGAAATTGCTGAAAGAGCTCAGCAGGTCTGGCAGCATCTGTGTCGAGAATTCAGAGTTAATGTTTCGGGTCGAGTGACCCAAAGTCAGTTCTGAGGAAGGGTCACCAGACCCGAAACCTTAACTCTGATTTCTCTACACAGATGCTGCGAGACCTGCTGAGCTTTTCCAGCAATTTCTGTTTTTGGAACAAAATGGATGATGGTTTGAAATGATTAAATTCTGTGTTGAGTCCAGAGGCTATAGAATCCCCAGTTGAAAGATGTGTCACTACCTGCTCACAATGAACCTGGCAGTGCGTGGGCCGAGGACAGAGCTATCAACGCGAGAGCTACCTGTCCTCTCAGTTTAACTCTGGCATTTTTCTTGTGGCCTGAGCTGAACCTCATCTAAAACCAATATATCCTCCCTGGGTTTCAGTGACTCAAACTGAAGGCAATGTTTTGAATGGCAAGGGGAGCAATTGAGAATCTGCTTCACATCACTTCTTTACTTTTGTAACCATCTTACTGCAGGGAAGGTCAATGTATGATTAAACTTACATATTTATTTCTCATAATTGTGCACCAGCTTTAACAACAACTTATACAGCACCTCAAAGATAATGACACCAACGCACTTCACAGAGATGTTATAAGATAAAGTATGATACCAAGGTTCGTATGAAATTAAATGGTCAAATGCTTAGGCAGAGAGGACAGTATGGGAGAGAGGGAGAGGGGTTCGGGGAGTGGAAATAGACAATCTTAATCTCAGGCTGTTGCAAAGGCAAGGGATGGACTAAGTGATTAGAAGCGGAGGTTTGGAACTGAGGCTGAAAATAATGGCTTCATCCTTTTTTGATATTCAAATGGGGGAAATTTCAACTCACTCAGTATTTGAGGGTGCAGTGGAGATTCACAAGGTGTTGCCTGGGATAGAGCTATGAAGGGAGACTGGATAAGCTCGGTTGATTTCTTGACCCTCCACTCAGAAGCAGGGTCACTAGACTTAAAACGTTAACTTAGTCATACAGTAATACAGCAGGGAAACAGACCCTTTGGCCCAAACTGCTCCATGCTGACTATAGTGCCCACTTTGTTTCTCTCTCCACAGATCGACTGGACAAAGTGGATGTTAGGAAGATGTTTCCATTGGTAGGAGAGACTGGGACCCGAGGGCACAGCCTTAGAGTAAAGGGAAGACCTTTTATAACGGAGATAAGAAGAAACTTCTTCAGCCAGAGAGTGTTGACTCTATGGAATTCACTGCCACAGAAGGCTGTGGAGGCCAGGTCATTAAGTATATTTGAGACAGAGATAGGTAGGTTCTTGATTGTCAAGGGGATCAAGGGTTAGGGGGAGAAAGCGGGAGAATGGGGTTGAGGAGCTTATCAGCCATGATTGAATGGCGAAGCAAACTCGATGGGCGGAATGGCCTAATTTCTGCTCCTATGTCTTATGGTCTTTTAGATACTGCCAGATCTGCTGAGTTGCTCCAGCAATTTCTGTTTTTGTTTCAGATCTTTAGCATCAGCAGCTCTTTGTTTTAATTTAACCAAATATCATATCCTGCCAATCAGGCTGCATTCTTTTAACCTTACTCTAGATCCCCTAATTTTCAACAATGTTGCAGTAATAATGGAACCAGCGTCCTTCTCCAGTAAATATGCTGTTCCATCTTTTCCATCATTAAGGTTGGGAAGTAAGAAAGATGCTACTTTAAAAAAGAATGCTGTACAAATGAAATTGGGATTGTCCCCTGGATTTATAAGTCGATGCAATTTTTTTTTTAATAAATGTCCTGCCTGCAGATATAAGATTATTTCCAGCAAGCTTCTGATAATGTTGGCTGAGTCTCACAAAATAAAAATCAGGAGTCACTCTGAAGCAGCAAAGGGGTTTAAACATTCTTTGGACACAGAATGGGAGAAATTAACAAGTTACAATTGAGTCAAAAAGGCAGCAATTACAGCTGATAGTAGGAGCCTGTTCCCATTTGAAGATATAACCTGATGAGGCTCTTCAATTGTAATCTCACCTTTAACATTTCCTCATGTATGCCATAATGCGCATAAGAGCTGAAATAGACACTGTCCTCATCCTCCTGCAGGTTAGCTATAGCATTTGTGGTTGATGTTCCAGCTCTGGCATCTGCATTTATCACGAAATCCTGTGCATATTGTCTGTAATCAATTTAAAACACACCCTTGAGGGACACTCACTGAACCGCAAAAAAATTATACAACAATAGAATGTTTCCAACAAACTTCCAGGCTTTTTACGCTCTGACACCCTCTGCTGGTTTAGCAGTTAAATTACAGATTTCCCCACTCATGACCAAATGATCAGTTTGCTCACAGGATACTGGCATAGGATGTGCAGATTTCAATTGTAATAAAAGCAGCAATTCAAACAAATCTCACTACAATGCAAAAGCTGCCGGTTGTACTATAATCAAGTCTCGTGTGCAAGTTTGTCTGCCACAAAATCATAATTTGATGGGAGGGAGAGGGCAATTTAACCACTCTGCGCCGTCAGATGTGATGCAGACTGAGCGAGGAAATTCACTCAGTTTTATCCTTGGAATCGGGGACTGCATAAACAAAGCTTAGCTGCAACGTGCGTGCAGTCTCAGGGTTTAACATATAAAAGAAAGGTTGCCAAGAATCACTTTGCCTAACTGAAATTAACTGAAACCACTGTAGGATATAAAACTCACTACCATTCTTTTCTGGGTGTCGACAACTCCATCCTGTGAGCTTGCAGAATACTATCAATCTATCATTTAGCCCACCCAGCTCATCAAGGATTCAACGGTATCCTTTTAAAATCAATGAAAGAACCTATTTTAAATGTTGAGATCCCTCCTTGCCAGTCCCATCTTCAAGAGCATTTGTCCCAAGACTTTTTTTTTACTGATTTTAAATCATTTTCATTTTTAAACGTTATTCCAGTTATTTTGTTCTTTCCTGAGATAAGGCGTCACTGGAAAGGCCAGCATTCGTTGCCCACATTAAAACCATAACAAATAGGAACAACAGCAGGCCATTCAGCCCTTTGAGTCCGCTGTACCATCTAATAAGATCATGGCTGATCTGACATTCCTCATGTCCACTTTCCTGCCCTTTCCCCATAACCCTTCATTCCCAAACTGATCAAGAATATGTTGATCTCAGCCTTAAATATACACAAGGGCTCTGTCCCCACAGCTCTGTGTGGCAAGGAGTTCCAAAGACTCTCAACTCTCTGAGAGATGAAATTCTTCCTCATATCAGTCCTAAATCAATGCCCTTTAAGTCTGAGAAAATACCCTCTGGTCCCAGGCTCTCCCATGACTATCCCATTCTTAATTGCCGTTTCAGAGGGCTGTTAAGAGTCAACCACATTGCTGTGGGTCTGGAGTCACATGTAGGCCAGACCAGGTAAGGATGGCAGATTTCCTTCCCTCAAAGACATTAGTGAACCAGATCAGTTTTTACAAGAATCGTGGTCACCATTACTGAGGCTTTAAATTCCACATTTATTTATTGAGTTTTCATATTCCATCGGCTGCCCTTTCTCCTCCCCACCCCTCCATCAAAGACGCGTTTTATTTTATCATGGAAGAATTCAGAATCCAATTCCCTGACCCAGCTGTGGCCCAGGATTCCATAGTGCTCCGCCTCATGTTGTGCCATTAGGTTTCTAACCTCTGAAGGTCATGGGGCGCGGGAGAGAAAGAGCCCTTTCTAAAATAAATAAAACTCACACACCTCATTTTCTCAAAATCTCCCATGATCCTTTCCACAGCTGCTTCAGCTTCCTTGGCTCTTCTCTCTGCTTCTTGTAACCGTTGAAGCTGTGCTGCTCGGTCCCAGCTCTCCTCACCCAGTGGTTCTGCCAAACAGGTTTGTGTCTCCGTACTTTCCCAGAACTCATCGACATCTGTGAAGACAACACCCAGTGAGTGCAGCCATGGACTGAACCCAGCCAGTACAAAAGCTATGTCGGTCCAAAGCCTTGGCCCTTTCGGGAGGGGCAGGGATTGTGGTCTGAAGGGGGCGTGGTAGCTGTGTTCAGCAATGCTAAAGTTAAACAATTGTTGTGGTGCAGCAAAAGGCCATTCAGCCCATTGTGCTGTGTACCTGAACAGTGACAGGCCACGTTTTGATTGGTGGAGTTTGCTCCAGTCCATTTAGCAATTTTAAGTGAAAAGAAAACATGCTCACAAATGAAAAGGAGGGGAATACTGTACAAAGATTGTGGAAACTCTTTCACAGATTTAGATTGAAGGTTACAACATAAAAAGCACTGTAGGCAGTTGTAGTGATTGTAATGAGGTCAGCTAGGTGGACCTCATAGAATATGAGTTCCCTGATTGGGGCTAATAGGTGTGTCTCCTTACTGGCTCCCAAGTCTCTGATTGGGGCTGTTAATCTGGTCCAATCAGTGAGCCCCAGCTGACAGATATAAACAAGAGTGGTATCTTCACTGAATCTCTGCACTTACACACACACACACACACACACACAACACGGATGCTGGGGGGTGGGGATTTTTATAAGAACCACTGCTGTGTAGCAGTAGAGTGGGGGTAACAAAATATATATAAACAGGGGCATCCAATATTCTGTTCACTCTTGAGAGCTGGCTCTGAGGAAGTTAGATCAGTGTCAAGGACTTTCAATGTGTACATAAAAGATGATGTGGTGACAGGATATCAACCTCTGTGGCATCATTTCAGCAGTATATATCCGAACAACGTAAATCCATTAATATTATTCACTGGTAACATTTACCCTTTAACCTTGAATTCTTTTCATTTGAAGCCATCAAACATACAGGAAAATAAAGAAAACTTAGGGCAGGATACTACATGCCCCCTTCAGAGGTGTGTAATAACATCTCTGTGAACAGATTGATTAGAAAAATAGGTTAAAAGAAAAACAAAATAAAGCAGACCCAGGCCATCTTGTGGCGCAGTGGTAGTGTCCCTAACACTGGACTGGGAGACCCAGGTTCAAGTTCCATCTCCTCCAGAGCTGTGTAATAACATCTCTGAATGGGTTGATTAGAAATATAGGTTAAATTAAACAAAAGTAAGGCTGACCTAGTCACGAGTAAGGGCTCCATTTTGGTGTTCAGCAATAAATTATGTTCCCTTCTGGTCAGGCTTGCTGCGTTATTACACTAAGTAGATAATCAAGGCCATTTGTTAAAACCTAAACGGACCTCAATAATACATTACCCCTGTCATAATAAGTTTGGTGCAGGTGGATAGGAGTGGACAGGTTGTTATCTCCTCAGACAGTGAACAATATATTCACTCCTTATATTTAAAATGGCAGAAAGAAAGAGGGAAGAGTATCATTAGTTGATGCAACATGCCCATTGGAGGCACCTGTCAAAATGAGAGTACCCCTCTTCTTTCCTTTTACAGCTCACTTCAGAAGCAAAGGCCAGCAAGAAAATTAATATTTGGAAATAGGTCATATTGAAGCTCAATTCTGAAGTGAACAAGATGAGCCAGCTCCTGTGGTGTGGTGGTAGTGTCCCTATGTCTGAACCTAAAGGACAAGGTTTAAGTCCCACCTGTTCCAGAGGTGTGTAATCTCTGACTATAAGACCTGAAGAGAAAGGAGCAGAATTAGGCCATTTGGCCCAGTGAGTGTGCTCCACCATTCGATCCTGGCTGATATGTTTCTCAACTCCACTCTCCTTCCTTTAAATCCTTGTTCCCATATCAAGAACCTATCTATCTCTGTCTGAAATACGCTCAATGACACGGCCTCCACAGCCCTCTGCAGCAACGAGTTCCACAGATTCGCCACCCTCTGGCTGAAGAAATTTCTCCTCATCTCCGTTCTAAAGGGTTATCCCTTCACTCTGAGGCTGTGCCCTTGGGTCCTAGTCTCTCCTACCAGTAGAAACATCTTTTCCACATCCATCCTATCCAGGCCTCTCAGTATTCTATCAGTCTCAAGCAGATCCTCTCCCAAATTATTTTAAACCCCATCGCATACAGACCCAGAGTCCTCAACTTCTCCTCATATGGCAACCTCCCTGTTACGGAATCATTCTTGTAAACCTCCTCTGGACCACCTCCATTGAGCAGGTTGGTTAGAAATTATCTACAAGAGGAATCAGACCAGAATGTGTCTTTCCATGTGGGGCCCCCAAGCCACCCTGAGTTCCAAAGACCCTGGGCCTAAGACATCCTGAGCTCCATGGGGCCTCTTGCATGGACCTGCCTGCAGGCCCAACAACACTTACTACCAAGCTGTGTCTCCCAGGGGTGGAGTCCAGCTTTGGCTGCAGGGTGCACTTGTTCTGGGCCTGTTAGCCACCTCTATTTCGGGTTAATGGTAGGTGTCTTTTCCCTAGGATAAGGGACTTCAAGACTAGGGGGCACATTTTTAACTGAGAGGAGAGAGATTCAGAAAATACACAAGGGGCAATTATTTTTTACACAGTGTGAACTTCCTGAGGTAGTGGTGGATGTGGGTACAGTTACAACATTTGAAAAATGCTTAGATAATAACATGAATAGGAAAGGTTTGGAGGGATATGGACCAGGAGCAGGCAGGTGGGACTAGTTTAGTATGGGATTATGGTCGGCATGGACAGAATGGACTGAAGGGTCTGTTTCCGTGCTATATCACCCTATGACTCTGAGGGACAGGACCAGTTGGGGTGGCCCACATCCAATCCTTCCCATAAATTTCCAACCAAAATACTTTTCACAAACCTTACGGCTTTAGAACAAACGGTGTACTTTTGAACTGCAGTCACTGGAAGACACAGAAACAAAAATTGGAATGGGAGTCGGCTATTCAGCCTTTATCATTCATTATGCTCATGGCTGATCATCCAAATCAGTCCCCTGTTCCTGTTTTCTCCCCCATTCCCATTGACGCCTTTAGCCATAAGAACTATATCTAACTCCTCCCTGAAAGCATTCAACATTCAATATCCATTGTGTCCGGTCAGTAGAGCTTCCTTGGTCTTGTCTGCCTGGCTCAAGCTGCTTTATTAACTCCCTGAGCAAAGTGGAGAGCTGGTTTTGGGTTCTGCTTTCTGTGTTGAATTCACTGCTGTGAGAAACAGCTGGGTTGTCACAGTGAGACTCTGCTTCCCTCCAAGCCTCAGGATAATATCAACCAGTCGCTAAGGAGATCGGTTTCTCAACCCTGACTACTTGGCAGCATGGTCTGCCCAAACCTGTGGCCTGCCTGGAACACAGACAATGGCATTGAGCTCCTTTGTGCCAATCTCCCTCTGGAACCGCCTGGAGACAGGACGTTCACGTTCACGTTTGGAGTATGTCCTGTTACCAAGAATACTGAAGGACTGAGATCACGCAGTGGGCAACGATACCCTTAACACGTGTCATCGCCCTTGGAAGGTGATGGGAGGGGCCAAAATAGAAACGGAGAGACATCGAAAATTAACACAGGAGGAGGTTGGGACTGTGCTAACAGCTGCAGAGAAACTCCCAGAAGCTAGTGTTTGAAATTCACCATGTCACATGATTCTTGCATCCTGATTTTAGAATGCCAGACTAAAGTCATGATTCTTGTTAAAAACTGAAGGGTTTATAATTTTGAGACACCAGAGAAGATCTGAATTCCTTACAATACAAACGATAAAAATGATTTGTACCAAACTGGAGTAAAGGATCATCTGTGGACGGTGGTTTCATAAATTCTTCATTCTCCCAAGGGACATGGCCCAAAATGGATTTGAAAGATTCTGCAGGGGGATTCTGTGAAAAGGAACACACAGCAACTGTCAATTTCAAATAAAAGCAACATACAGCAGAAAATCTGAAACAAACACAGAGGATGCTGAAGAAACTCAGCAAGTCTGGCAATGTCCATGGAGAGAGAAACAGAGTTAACACTTCGTGTTAACATCCCTCCACAGATGCTGCATGCCCTGCTGAGCTTCACCAGAATTCTCTCTATAACCATTATTCTCTCTTCGCTTCACTGTACAATGCAAAATTTTAAGTGACATTTACTCCAATTAAACCCTTCTCAGTTCAATCCAATCTCACTCAATTCAAAGCAGTTTATTGTCCTGCTCATTAAATTTCCCTGATATCATCATTCTTCACTTCAATCATCACAGCATTCACATCCAATAGGATGAGATGAGAAAAAAATTATTTCCAAGTTGCAATGCCTCTACAAGAAATTTACAATTTTGTCACATATACACAGAGAAACAGGCCTTTCAGCGCAACTCATAGCTGATATACAGATGTCAGGATGGAATATAAACTACACTGACGATAATAAAAGAACTGGAGAGACTGGGATTACATTTTTTTGTTGCCTAGATTTAAGCTAACACTTGTGTTTTAAAATATAAAAGATGCTGTTTTGTGGAGCTGGCTCTGTCAAGATGTGCAGCTTTTAATTTTGCCTGCATCATTAAGTTTGCAGTTCCACGCAGATAAATAATGGTATTTACAGCTCTCTATATCGACGAGTAGGCAGATAGAAGAATAGGAGCTCCTGAAAAGACAATGCCCACACCCCCAGTACCAGTCCAGTCAACCTTGTGTCACTACTTTGGAAGGTGTGCCTCTGGACAGTGCGTCCATTCTTGGTTAAAGAAACAAAAACCACAGACAGTCATTATTCCTGAAGACAAATTACAGTGTAATTATAAAAACCACAAGAACTGCGGATGGTGTAAATCAGGAACAAAAACAGAAGTTGCTGAGAAAGAACTGAGGAAGGGTCACCGGGCCCAAAACGTTAACTCTGATTTTTTACCTCACAGATGCTGCCAGACCTGCTGTGCTTTTCCAGCAACCTCTGTTTTTGTACAGTGCAATTATACTTGCTACAAATGTGCAAGCTTACAATCAAACATCTTTGGACATCATAAAGCATTTGTTGCATGATGTTCACAGCACGGAATTACCGTGCATCCATTCACTCCTATTATACAAAAACTCCTGATCCAAGTATAAAACGTACTCCTTGACTGTATTTCCCTAATAGTTAGAGCCAAATATAGCCAGCTTACCCTTGCCAAATTTCACACAGTGACATCAGGGTAATGCTCTTTAAAACATCAAAATTATTTGGAGTGAACTGCTGAATGATTAATGCAATTAGGAACTTAAATTAGACTGCAGTGCAAAGACTCATAAATTGCCAGCATCCATCTTCAATTCCTTTGCAAACTCTCTATCATGATTTGACTGGCCCCTGTTTGCACGTTGGAATGCAGAAAACAGCATCTGAATAAAAATAATAGCTCACTCATTCTTCCCAGTCCCTGGATAATGGATTAAAATAGCTTTGTATTACCAAACGAAGTGTGTGCCTCTCATTTAAAAATATAGCCTTCCACAATTCAACGCATGTCCTCTTTACTTTATTGCCTGTTACCTCTGTTCAATTTATTTTTGCCCAATGGCCGGTATTTTAAGACAGGATCCAAGCCTATATAAATAAATATGCGTTTCATGTCCTTATCCCCAGGAAGCAATTGATGTTTTATCCCTAACTTTCCTCCTTCTACTTCGACTATGTAGTGCTCGATAGAAATTTTGTCCACATTAACTCGAAGAAAACAAGAGTCAAAGGCTTTTAGTGATTTTTCTTGAATGATATCACCTTGTGTCCCGTGAAAAGTCTACAAGAGTTTGATTACTAGATTAAAAAAAACAAAGAAAATACTTTTCAGACATATCAAAACTTACTGTGATTCTAATAAAATTGACAAGCCTGATGAACCCATAACAATCGAGACCTGAAAAAGATACTTCCTGTTACCATCAATATATACAATTGACAAAATATTAAAGTTTTAGAAAAATGACAGATTTCACACTTACTCGCTTTCCAATAAAAGCAGTCTTTTAAATGTGGAAAACACAATGACCTTAAATTCTCAGTGTAGTGTTGGAACTGAAAAATGACCTACCATGCTTGTGAACTATTTGGCTCATGTCAAATTGATGGTCCACTCTACAGTGAGAAAAGGTATCTTGAGCTGAACTGAATAATCTGTTTGCAAAGAAAAAAATTCTAATTACCTTCAATATTTGTTAAAATTTAGAAATTCTGGTGAATACATTAATGTAATGAATGTTACTGAATCTTCCACTGTCAACATTCTGGGGGTCCTACTGCTGACCATAATCGGAACTGAACGAGCTATTTAAATATTGTGGCGGTAGCAAGAACTGCAGATGCTGGTGTCAGAGTCAATACAGTGTGGGGCTGAAACAGGTCAGGCAGCTTCAGAGGAGCAGAAGTGTCGATGTCTCAGGCCTGGACCCTTCATCAGGACTTTCCAAAACACCCAACAGGCCCAAAGCGCCAACTTTCCTGCTCCTCTGATACTCCCTGACCTGCTGTGTTCCTCCAGCTCCACACTGTATTGATTAAATACTATGGTTATCAGAGCAGGTTAGAGGCTGGGAATTCTGCTATGAGTAGCTCATCTCCTGACTCCCCAAAGCCTGTTCACCATCTACAAGGCACAAGTCTAGAGCACGGTGGAATATTCACCACTTGCCTGGGTGCGTGCAGCTCCAGTAGCAATGAGAAAACATAATGAGGGAGTCAACTTACATGGTAAAGACCATGGGTTTGGAAGGTGATGTTGAAATATCCTTGCTGAGTTACTGCAGTGCATCTTGCAAATGGTTCACACTGCTGCCAGTGCATTGTTGACGAAGGGAGTGAATGTTGAAGGTAGTGGATGAAGAGGCAATCAAGTGGGTTACTCTATCCTGGATAGTGTCAGGGTTCTTGAGTGTTGTTGGTACTGTGCTCATCCAGTGAAGTGGTCAAACAGTGACCAAAATTCAAACTAATAACAAGGGAACTTAGGAGCCCTAGTTCACAGTTCTCTTTAGGTCAACATGCAGGTTCAGTTGGCAGTTAGGATGGCAATGCAATGTTAGGATTCATTTCAAGAGGGCTAGAATAGAAGAGCAGAGATGTACTGCTGAGGCTATAAAGGCTGTGCTCAGACCACATTTGGAACACTGCAAGCAGTTTTGGGCCCATCTCTGAGGAAGGATGTGCTAGTGTTTCAGGGGGTCCAAGAGGAGATTTACAAGAATGATACCAGGGGTGAAGGGCTTGTCATATGATGAGTGGTTGAGGACTCTGGGTCTGCTCTCAATGTGGTTTAGAAGGATATGGGAGGACCTGACTGAAATTTACAAAATACTGAGGGGCCTGAATACCATGGATGTGGAGAAAGTGTTCCCACAAGTCAGAGAGACTAGTGCTTGGGGGCACAGCCTCAGAATGAAGCAACAACCCTTTAGTACTGAGATGAGGGGGAATTTCTTCACCCACAGGGTGGTGAATCTATGGAATTCATTACCACAGCCAATTGTGGAGGCCAAGTCGCTGATTGTATTTCAGACAAAGATAGGCTTCAGATAGAGATAGATTAGTAAGGGGATCAAAGCTTACAGGGAGGAGACAGGAGAATTCTTTGCCAATATCTCATGGTCCTAAATTTGTCTTCATGTAAAGAGAGATTGATTCAGTTGTGTGAGGGAAAGAAACAAGAAATCATTTTAGAAACAACTGATTGCTCCTCTGGAGGCAAAGGGACTTTAGGATGTTTCTAGACAGATGAACTAAGATGGTCAAATTGCCTCCTTCATGCAAAATTATTCTGCTTTAAGCAAGAGCAGAGGCATAGGGCTTGGAACACAGTGCGACTGTTCATCATGTTGACAGTGCCAATACTAGTCAACAAGCAATTCATTATCTTCCCTGGGAATTGTTATCAGTTTTTATTTGGTATGTCATACCCAAGGTGTTTTATGATGTCAGATTCTTGAAGCATATTTGGAAAGCTGTCAACTAAAGACCAGAGTCTACAAAGAGACATACATTTTCAGTCTCAGTAAATTCGTACAGTCTGCAAACAGCAGCCCCTGCTTCATCTGTAGACAGAACGCATCCAAAATCTTTCAAATGAGAGATAAATAGCTTGTGTCTCTCCATCCTTCAGATTTTGATGGGCCTGTATCTCTGCTTACAAAATATTATTTTACCGAGGAGTTATGAAGACACAGGGTCAGATTCTGCTAATGCACAACTTCTAACTGAACCAGTTCTTGACTCTGCACCCTTCTGCTCAAAAGAATCTTTTTCCAGAACACAGCTGAGGTAAGAACAGTGAAGCAGGGGAGTCTCATCCTGTAAGACAGAGCAAGCAACAAGAGAATTGAAAGAGTGGAAATGAAAGATTCAGCTGAAAAAATTGAGAGAACAGAAAAGTAAGAACCTTAAAATTTAACTTTGGCAGTTTTTAAACAAATTATATCTGCTGAACTAGTTGAGAAATTGAAGGAGCACAGTGCCACACAAGGAATAGCTTATTTTCGGTGCCACACCACAACTGACAAACATCATCACTGTTGAGGTTCACCTCCTACACAGATCAAAGGAGGACTACAGTAAGGACTACTGCAGGTTAACTTTGTATTTATTCAAACAACTTCAGTGAGTGAGAGAGAGAGACTGTCTTTCGTAGGGGGCTAAACAGAGGGATCTGGGGGTCCTTGTGCATGAATCACAAAAAGTTGGTTTGCAAGTGCAGCAGGTAATTAAGAAGGCAAATGGAATTTTGTCCTTCATTGCTGGAGGGATCGAGTTTAAAAATAGGGAGGTTATGCTGCAGCTCTGTAGGGTGCTGGTGAGGCCACATCTGGAGTACTGTGTACAGTTTTTGTCTCCTTACTTGAGAAAAGAGGTACTGGCACTAGAGGGGGTGCAGAGGAGGTTCACTAGGTTGATTCAGGAGTTGAGAGGGTAGGCTTATGGGGAGCGATTGAGTTGACTGGGACCATACTCATTGGAATTTAGAAGAATGAGGGGTGGATCTTATAGAAACATATAAAATTATTTCAAGAATAGATAAGATAAAAGCAGGGAGGTTGTTTCCACTGGTAGGTGAAATTAGAACAAAAGGGCATAGCCTCAAAATAAGGGGGAGCAGATATCGGACTGAATTGAGGAAGAACTTCTTCACCCAAAGGGTTGTGAATCGGTGAAACTCTGTCCCACCTCTGTCCAATACATACAGAAAACCATCAATCTTTATACCCCTTGTAATACAAATGCCTACATAATTGTCTAAGAATGAAACATACAAAACAGAAATCTTCCATTTTCAGTCTTTTTCATGTTCCATCTACAGGAATCTGTTTATACTTTTCCAGTCTGCTCCCAAAGCAAATATAGTACTAGATCCCTTAGGTTAATCTTCAGCTCATGCTTGTTAAAAATGTGCCTTACAATACTAGCTAGTAAATTGTTGTCGCAGTCCTATTGTAACTTCTTTCTATAAGTCATCTTTAATTCCCACTTCAACAGCAATCATATCACCACGATGGTACTTACTAGCCTTTCATTTATGAGCTATGTAAGCTGGTTTAATTTTGCACCTACAAATACAGCAGTTCATACTGTCAATCCTTGGAGTAGTGAGACAGACAGCAAATGTTGTTTCGCAAAGCTAACACCAGAATGCTTTAAGTCAGACAGAAACCTTCAGATATTTACATAAAAACATGCAAATTAGGAATAAATGTAGGCCACTTAGCACTTTGATTCTGCTACACATTCAGTGTGATTGTGGCTGATCTATTTTCGTTTTTAATTCCAAAATCCTCCATTAGCTCAATAATCTTTGATTCCCCTGCCTAACAAGAATCTATCCATCGCTGACTAATTCAGTGACCCTGCCTCCTCAGAGACTTCCAAAGTTGCATAGTCCACTGGGAGAAAAGGATTCTCCTCGTGTCCTGAAAGAGTGATTCCTAATTTTGAAACAGTGTCCCTTAATATTGCACCCATACTCAAGAGGAAACATCCTTTCCGCATCCACCTTGTCCAGACCATTCAGGACCTTATCTACTTCACCCCTGACTCTTCTGAACTCCAGGAGAAATAAGCCTAACCTGTCTAACCTATCTGAGAACAACACACTCTTTTCAGATTTCAAGCTAGTCAATGAAAGTGAAATACTGCTGAAGCTGGAAATCTGAAACAAGCCTAGAGAATGGTGGAGAAACTCAGCAGGTCTGGCAGCATCTATGGAAAGAGAAACTGAAGCAGTTCATGTTCAAATGCAACGAGATCTAGACAATATCCAGGCTTGGGCTGACAAGTGGCAAGTAACATTAGCACCACATAAATGCCAGGCTATGACAATCTAACCACCGCCCCTTGACATTCAATGGTGTTACCATCAATGAATTCCCACCTCCCCCCCAATATCAACATCCAAGGGGTCACCATTGACCAGAATCTCAACTGAACTGGCCACATAGATACAGTGGCCACAAAAGCAGGTCAGAGGTAAGGAATACTGCAGCGAGTAACTCACCTCCTAACTCCCCAAAGCCTGCCCACTATCTACAAGGTACAAGTCAGGGAGTGTGATGGAATACTCCCCACTTGCCTGGATGGGTGCAGCTTCAACAACACTCGAGAAGCTTGACACAATCCAAGACAAAGCAGCCAGGAAATATATCGCCATTCTCTTTCAGTGTCGCTGGATCAAACTCCTGGAAATCCCTCCTTAACGGAATTGTGGGTCAACCTACAGCACATGGACTGCAGCGGTTTAAGAAGGCAGCTCACCACCACATTCTCAAGGGCAACAAGGGACTGGGCCCAGCCAGTGATGGTCACATCCATGAGAGAATAAAAGAACAACAGTCAGTACCTCGAGTCTGGTATGACGCCTCTTCCAAACTGCCTCCAACCTGCTTACATCATTTCTTAAATAAGGAGACCAAAACTGTAAATAATATTCAAGATGTGGTCTGCTTTTAACTGCACATCTGCCACTCATAGAACATAGAGCAGTACAGTACATTACAGGCCCTTCGGCCCACGATGTTGCGCCGACCTATTATCCTGCTAAGATCAAGCTACCCTGCATACCCTACTTTACACTATCATCCACGTGCCTATCCAAGAGTTGCTTAAATGTGCTAAACGCATCTGACTCCACTACCACTGCTGGCAGTGCATTCCACACACCCACCACTCACTGTACATACAGTGTAAAGGACCAGGGAACACCAACACAGCATTATTTGGCAGCAGAATCAATAAAGATGTGATTTTTACATTCAGTTCTGAAAAAGTCATACCAGACTCAATATTGACTGTTTTGCTCTCCATATCTGCTGCCAGACCTGCTGAGTTTCTCCAGCAAGATCTGTGTTTGTTCCAGATTTCAAGTATTCTGCTATTACATTTGGCAACTTCCTTCACAGGACCGCTGCACACAGGAGTATTAATACCAGGGGCTGTGAGGATTCAATCCCTCATTTCACTTATCTGGCACATTTGGCATACTGAGGCATCAAACAGAGGTAGAGTGTCATGCTGCAGATAAGAAGAAAAGCAAAGAGTAGAGTGTGTAAAATAGTTATCACTGTCTGCTTCCCTCATGACATTGCAACACAAGGGCTGGTCTCCCATCCTGCAGGATGACTTAAATCAACATTGGTGGAGATATATGACCAGGCGATTCAGCATGAGGTCTGCAAGTTACTTGTGGTATATTTTAAAATCGCTGCTGCAGCCTTTGAAATAGGATTCTCAGCTGAAGGAAAAGTACTCAGAACATAGAACATAACAGGACAGTACAGGCCCTTCGGCCCTCAATGTTGCGCCAACCTGTGAAACCAATCTGAAGCCCATCTAACCTAAACTATTCCATTATCATCCATATGTTTATCCAATGACCATTTAAATGCCCTTAAAGTTGGCGAGTCTACTACTTTTGCAGGCAGGGCATTCCACGCCCTTACTACTCTCTGAGTAAGGAACCTACCTCTGACATCTGTCCTATATCTATCACCCCTCAATTTAAAGCTATGTCCCCTTGTGCTAGCCATCACCATCCGAGGAAAAAGGCTCCCACCGTCCACCCTATCTAATCCTCTGATCATCTTGTATGTCTCTATCAAGTCACCTTTTAACCTTCTTCTCTCTAACGAAAACAGCCTCAAGACCCTCAGCCTTTCCTCATAAGACCTTCCCTCCATACCAGGCAACATCCTGGTAAATCTCCTCTGCACCCTTTCCAATGCTTCCACATCCTTCCTATAATGCGGTGACCAGAACTGTACGCAATACTCCAAGTGCGGCCGCACCAGAGTTTTGTACAGCTGCAACATGACCTCATGGCTCCGAAACGCAATCCCTCTACCAATAAAACCTAACATACTGTACGCCTTCTTAACAACGCTATCAACCTGGGTGGCAACTTTCAGTGATCTATGCACATGGACACCGAGATCTTTCTGCTCATCCACACTACCAAGAATCTTACCATTAGCCCAGTACTCTGTATTCCTGTTACTCCTTCCAAAGTGAATCACCTCACACTTTTCCGCATTAAACTCCATTTGCCACCTCTCAGCCCAGCTCTGCAGCTTATCTATGTCCCTCTGTAACTTGCAACATCCTTCCGCACTATCCACAACTCCACCAACTTTGGTGTCATCCGCAAATTTACGAACCCATTTTTAGGGATAAAATGCTCAATTAACTGTCCCAGTTCAGAGCTACAAATTCTCTCGTTCATGAACAGATGAACTAAGAACAGAAGTAGATTATTCAGCCCCACAAAGCTATTCCACCATTTAATATGACCAAGGTTTATTTGATCATAATGAGAATTCCGCTTTCCCGTCTACTCCCTGATAACCCCTTTATACCAAGAATCTATCCATCTCTACATTAAGATATTCAAGGACTATGCTTTCCCCAACCATTTCAGGAAGAGAGTTCCAAAGGCATAATTCCAAGGTACATAATTCTTTTAAAGTTTACATCACATGTAGATAGGGTGGTTGAGAAGGTGTTTAGCACACCTACCTTCATTGGTCAGACCACTGAGTTTCTGAGTTGGGACATTATGTTGAGGTTGCACAGGATGTTGATGAGGCCTCTTCTGAAGTACCAAGTCCATTTCTGGTCGCACAGTTATAGGAAGGATACTATTAAGCAAGACAGGGTTCAGAAGAGATTTACCAGGGTGTTATTGGGAATGAAGAGTTTGAGTTATAAGGAGAAGCTGGATAGGCTGGGATCTTTTTCCACTGGAGCTTAGGAGGTTGAGAGGTGACCTTATAGACGTTTATAAAATTGTGAGAGGTATAGATAAGGTGAACGGCAAGTGCCTTTTCCCTAGGGTGGGGGATTTCAAGACTAGGGGACGTATTTTGAAGGTGGGAGGAGAGAGATTTTAAAAAGACATGAGGGGCTATTTTTTATTTTACGCAGAGTCTGGCTGGTGTGTGGAATGAACTTCCCGAGGAAGTGGTAGAATCGGGTACAGTTACAACATTTAAAAGACATTTATGTAAGTACATGAGTAAGAAATGTTTGGAGGGATATGGTCCAAGGGCAGGCAGGTGGGATGGGTTTAATTTGGGATTATGCTCAGCATGGACTGGTTGGACCAAAGGGTCTGCTTCCATGTATGACTCTAAGATATGATGACTCATGACCATCTGAGAGAAAATAAATCTCCTCATCTCAGTTTCAAATGGGCATCTGCCAATTTTTGGACAATGAACTCTAGTTCTAAATTCTCCTACAAGTGGAAACATCCTTTCCACATTGCCCTCAGTACAGACTCATCATGATTTTAAATATTTCAATCAAGTCACCTTGAATTCATCTAAACACCTATGGTTACCAGCCTAGCCTGACCACCCTTTCCTCATGGAACAACCTGACCAATCCAAGTATTAATCTTGCAAACCCAAATCCCTCTTACTTCTCCAAGGAATAAAGATGCCAATATTCCCTTCAATCCAAGTATCTTTAAAATAAATGTGGACGAGCACTTGAAATGCCATAACATTCAAGGCTCTGGGCCAAGTGCTGGTAAGTGGGATCGGCGTAAATAGGTTGGTATAAATTCAATGGGCAGAAGGGTCTCTTCAGGGCTACGTGAGTTTACGACTCTGTCCGATCAGCCAGTATTTCAGCAATGTGCTAGCATAATAAAAAAAGTCACTGCCTCAATGGACCAGTTTAACTGGCGTTTCACTATTTGACCCAACCACCTTAATACATATAATGTGGATGTTTTCGGAGTATAAATGTTTTGTGACAGTACAGTTTTACCCCTATCCACGAGTGACAACTACAAATATCTGTAGGTTTTTTTGTGTAAAAGCACCTCTCACAAAATAGGCAACGAATTTGTTCTTGTCCCTTGATCTGCTCTTCTTCATCCCAGTCACACCATTCTTCGTCGCCCATCTCAGACAATTCAGGCATCTCTTCAGTAACATCTTCTCTGTCTACCAGGAAAAAAAAGTGAAAATCTATCAAAAAGATAATACATGTTTTGTGTTAAATGGAGGTAGAGCATAAATCTCTCTCTCTCACACACACACACACAGAAATCTTAGTAATTCTGGTAGAAGAGTCATCCATAAAACATCACTCCACTGAGTTGCGACATACAACAACAATTTATATGGTGCCTTACAGCTGAACAATTTCATAAGAAATGTCACAAGAGTATCATCAATTCAGTACTGTCCCAGAACTTAGTAAGGAGATGTTGGCAGAGGTGACTAAAAGCTTGTCAAAGGGGTAGACTTTAAGGAGAGTTGTAAAACTGGAATAAGACTTAGGGAGATCATTCCATGATTTAGGGCCTGGGCAGCTGAAAGTACTTTAACTACAGGAAAGCGAAGAGAATGGAGAATGTGCAGGAGACTAGACTGGAAGGAATGTGGTATTCTCAGTGGGTCGTATGGACTCAAGGCACTTACAAAGGCAGAGGGAGCAGAGAGACACCATACAGTATATGGAAGAGATGTATTGATTGAAACACACAAGATCCTGAGGGGCCCCTACAGGGTAGAAACGTTTCCTCTTGTAGAAGAATCAAAACTTAGGAGCCTTTGTTACCAAGGGTTACCTATTTAAAACTGAGATGAGCTAAAAGAATTTCTTTCAGTGTTGAGCATCTCTTCCTCAAAAGGCAGAATCCTTGAATTAAAGGCAGAGGTGGGCAAATTGTTGGTAAGCGAGGAGGTAAAAGGTTATTGGGGTCAGCAGGAACGTGGATTTAGGGTTACAGTCAGATCAGTCATGATCTTAATGAAAGGCAAGCAGGCTTGAAGGGCTGAATAGCCTAGACCTCTCCTTGTTCAGTTGTCCACACTGCAAGTAGGAAAGCCAAAGATCAAAGTCTCAGCAGCAAACAACAGGAAACTACAGGACAAAGTTTTATCTCAAAGATGACTGAAATACGAAGAGGATACCTTAGTTGCATAAGGACACCATGTGAAATACTGCCCAAGGTTTTCGGGACCTACAGCTGGTAGAACACAGTTACCTTATTTGCAAGCAGTGACTATTCACTACAATAATAATCATAGAATCCCTGCAGTCTGGAAGCAGGCCATTCGGCCCATCAAGTCCACAACAAACCTCCGAAGAACATCCCACCCAGACCCACTCCGGTTCCCTATCCCTGTAACCCTGCATTCCTATGGCTAATCCACCTGCAAATCCTTTGACACTCTGGGCTATTTAGCATGGCCAATCCACATAACCTGCACATCTATGGATTGCGAGAGGAAACCGGAGCATCTGGAGGAAACTCACGCAGACATGGGGAGAACATACAAACTCCATACAGACAGTTGCCTGGGGCTGGAATCAAACCTGGGTCCATTGCACTGTGAGGCAGCAGTGCTAACCACTGAGCCACCGTTCCGCCCCAGGGGGAAGTAAAGGAGTACCATCCATCGGTCGGGAATCAAACCCAGGCCTCCTGGGTGGCAGGTATGAATTCGACCACTGATCCACCAACATCCCCCACGATGCCAAGGCTTTGTATGAACTTAGGAAATGGAAGCAGAAACAGATAAATGGACTGAATTACAGGGACTAGATACACAAACCTAGTTCCCTAAAATATAGAAGGCTGATGTGGTGATCTTACCACAGTGTTACAAATATTGAAAAGATTTGATAGGGTGTGTATGACACATAGTAAACAAGCCCAAGACTAAGTTTAGGGACAGGGATTAACACCCCTGCACAATAATTGGTCAATAACAAAGACCATAACAACTATCATGGATTGCCGGAAAAACCCATTTGATTCACTAATGACCAATAGGGAAGGAAATCTGCCATCCCTACCTGGTCTGGCCTACATGTGACTCCAGACCCACAGCAATGTGACAGACTCTTAACTGCCCTCTGGGCAATTAGGGATGGGTGATAAATGGCAGCCTAGCCAGCGACACTAAAAGCCCATAAAAGAATAAAGAAAAAAAGACATCAAAGACATGGGCTCAAACTAGTAAAAGGACATTTTCAGACCAAGATTAGAAGGTTGGCTGACATTGTAGAAGATGGATAAACACTTGGAACAAACTTCACAGCAGAAAAGATACGAGGGAGCCAGATGGGTTTTTACAACAATCGCCAGGTGTTGCCATGGTCACCATGACTGAGGCTAGCTTCACATTTCAGTAGCTTTTATTAATTGAATTTAAACGCCACCAGTTGTCATGGTGGGGTTTGAACTGGTGTCACCAGAACATAAACCTGGACATCTACATTACCTGCCCAGTGACACTGCTGTGTCATCATTGTCTGGTCAGCCATGTTAGCTTAATTATGTCTCTAAGCAGAAAGTGGTTTCAGGCCTGTGGAACAAGATACAACTACAAAAATCACATCTTTAGAATAAATTAATTTAATCTTTATTTAGAACAGACTTTACAAGGGAAGTTGCGTGTGGAGCTTAGCAAATAAGACAACATCACACTGCGTTATCTCTGCCCTGACTTCTACACCAACCAAGGATTCACTGTTGCTCTCGATCTAAATGCAGACTCTTCCTTTCTCATGCTGCTGTTTGACGGCCCTGTTACAAATCTCCCACTGCTTCGCAGCCTATTACATCGGTGTTATTACACTGACAGGAACAGGCAGCCCTTTGTTGCTCATGTCCTTGAAATCAGAACTAACAAACATCAACTACTTTTCATCTGGAATGGTCTCTCTCTTTCTGATGACCATTCAATTTTAAAAGACCTCCAACTTAAATGCCTGAAGACCCTTTCCACAGACTCAGCATTTCCCAAACACTCAGCTGCACATTACCACAACTGTCTCAAAAACAGAATGTACGGGTTAAAGGCAGTTCCTCAGTGTGACAGAATGTGGAAAGGTGTGTTCCCCAGGGATTGATGAGGGACCATTGTTGCTCCTGATTTATGTGAATGGTTTCAGTTGGAGAATGAGCAGTCCAATATCAACATTTGCAATGACACCAAATGGGGGTTTTGGGAGTTGAAGCCGGATGGGGCGTGGATGGTGTAGCCAATAAAGGGGAAGACTGCAATAAAATGTGAGAAGTTGTTAGCCTAGCAGAATGGGTGTATTAATGACAAGGTTGTTTCAATATAGGTGGCCAGTTGTCAGTGGGTCATCCTGCACTCTTCCCAGATTACTGACAGGGCCACAAGTAGAAAATTAACCTGGACAGATGTCAGAGTTGACCAAGATTTCATGACCTCAATCAAGTGATACCTTGAATTTAACGTTCTAAATCCAGTTTGCAAAGCCCCGCCATTGCCTCACCACCACCCCCATCTCAGGCATCTTCTCCAATTCCAAGACCCTCTGAGATAGTTTCACTCTTCTAATACCAGCCTCTTGTGCAACCCCAACTGCTCTACCATTGGTGTCAGCCCTTTACTTACTTCACCCAAAGCTCTGTATTCAATCTCTGCACCTAACCTTAACATTTCTATCTTAAAGCCTACATCTTCAACCTTGTTCCTGGTGACCTGACGTCATATCTCCTTTTATGATTTGGTGTCATCCTTTGATAAAGGTCTGGTCAATTCTTCTGGGACATTTTATTATGTTAGAGGTGCTACATAAGTTGTTGTTGCTGACTGTTTCATCCTTAGCTACAATACTTCACTAGGGGTTGAGGTACATAATTCTTTGAAGTTTGCGTCACATATAGGCAGTGTGGTTAAAAAGGCCTTTGGCATGCTTGCCTTCATTGCTCAGTCCTTTCAGTATCGGAGTTAGTAAATCATGTTGAGGTTGTACAGGACATTGGTGAAGCCTCTTCTGGAGTACTGTGTCCAGTTCTGGTCGCCCAGTTATAGAGTTGCAAAGTTGGGTAGCGTACTTGTGGATTGGGAGGCAAGATGTTAGAATTTGGTGTTTGTAAAATGCTAGTGGGGGGTGGGGGGAGCATTGCGTGGTCCCTTTAAAAGTCATGTGCTTTTTCTATTCTTAGAGATTTAAAATGGATGTTTGTGAGCAGCAGCTTGAAAGTTTGCAAGTACACAGAGAGCACCTGAATTGAAACAGTTGTATCAAAAGGCCGTACAGTTAAGCAGGCCAAGCAGCAGTTTTTACCAAGACAATGAGCTTATGAATTTAGCCAATCAATTTGAACCAGGCACTTCGATACCAAAAATCTATTAAATTTAAAACTGATGGTTTTGACAACATCGGACCAATCCTATTTTAAGAAATATTGATATGTCATCAAGGGTATAAAGGAAGGGAGTAGTTGGACAAAACCACAGAGCTAACAGCCCTCAGCTCTCAAGAGAAAATTGCTGGCTCTCACAGCCTCCTCTATGTCTTAGAGAAAGCACCATCTAAATAACAAAGGTACCCATGGAACAACTGGTTCATATTCCTGACAGAAGAATCGATGGCAAAGGCACAGAACATTCCAGAAGATGGGTCATCTGGCTGTAATTTCGAGAGACTAAATTCTTTTATTAATTTTATATACGTGGGATTCATATTTAGTGGAACAGCATACCATTAGAATCTTGCTTTATTCAGGAATAGTTAGTAGTTAGAAGGGGTTTATTCGGTTTGAGGGGCATGGATAGGGTGAATACCAAAGTCTTTTTCCCAGGGTAGGAGAGTCCAAAACTAGAGGGCATAGGTTTAAGGTGAGAAGGGAAAGATTTAAAAAGGTCCTGAGGGGCAACTTTTTCACACAGAGCGTGGTGCATGTATGGAACGAGCTGCCAGAGGAAGTGGTGGAGGATGGTACAATCACAACATTTAAAAGGCATCTGGACGGGTACATGAATAGGAAGGGTTTAGAGGGATATGGGCCAAATGCTGGCAAATGGAATGAGATCAGTTTAGGATATCTGGTCAACATGGACAAGTTGGACCAAAAGGTCTGTTTCTGCGCTGTATAATTCTATGACTGAAGTTCCTTACAGATTCTTGTGGTGTAGTGGTGCTGTCCCTACCGCTAGACCAGAAGGCCTGGGTTCAAGTTCCACCTGCTCCAGGCTTGTACTATGTCCGAATAGGTTGATTTAAAATATCTATTAAGCCCCAAAGCATTGGTCAGGGCCGTTGAGACACACTGATACCTCTGAGCCAGGTGACCTGGGTTTAAGCCCCACCTGCTCTAGAGATGTGTCATATCAGGTCTGAACGGGTTAATTAAAAATATCTCTAACCGGTTCCTGCCAGGTCTTTCCTCGTGATTAAAATTCTTTAAGTGAACTCCTTGTCTTGGAATGAAACAGGTCAAAATCTGGGATAACAAGGTGTAGAGCTGGATGAACACAGCAGGCCAAGCGGCATCAGAGGAGCAGGTAAAGATGTGGAAGCATTGGAAAAAGTGTAGAGGATGTTGCCTGGAACGGAGGGAAGGCCATTCGAGGAAAGGTTGAGAGAGCTAGGGCTTTTCTCTTTAGAATGACGAAGGATGAGAGATGACTTGATAGAGGTGGACAAAATGATCAGAAGTATAGATAGAGTGGACAGCCAGAGACTGTCTAGGGTGGAGGTGGCTATTACGAGGGGGCATAGTTTCAAAGTGAGTGGAGGTAGATATAGGGGAGACGTCAGAGGTAGGTTCTTTACTCAGAGAGTGGTAGGGACGTGGAATGCATTGCCGGAGACGGTAGTGGAGTCGGCCTCATTAGGGGCATTGAAGCGGCTATTAGATAGGCATATGGATGATAGTATAAGGTAGGGGTGGAGGTTAGATAGACCTTAGGTTTAGGGTAAAAGTTCGGCACAACATTGTGGGCCGAAGGGCCTGTACTGTGCTGTACAGTTCTATGTTCTTATAAGCTGACGTTTCGGGTCTGGGCCCTTCAAAATCTGGGTCTGTTTACCCCCGGCGTCTCAAACAATTTAAAATCTGCCGATCGAGAGCAGGACTGACCCAGTTTAAATGCCCCGCCAATCCGCCCAAACTTGCAATAGTAGCGAGACGGCAGGGATACAGCGGCCGCTACATTGTTACACTACAATGTTACAATTCATGTTACTCTTCATTCACTGATCTCTCACCCACATGTGTTTACCTTCAATTTCAGCCATGTTTTCAAGCTGCCGGCGTTATACGAAATGTCATCACCCCCAACACATCCCATCCGCTTCCAGGTCAATGGGACGGCTCAGTTCGAGGAAATAGGAAGTATTTCTGCAGGTTTAGAATGAAAGTATTCAACACCTTCTGCATTCATGAGCTTTTGTCTTTAAAATTCAGTGCGATGCGTGTTCCGGATTAGATCTGGAAATGCATATTCAATCACAATACTGAATGGTCTCCAATTAAAATCTCACCCCGACATAAACAGTATTTTATAGGTAGCTCCATCTGGTGCTGTTACTGAGATGTGACAATGTTTGAATAATGTGTTGACACCATGAATGGGCAGAAGCAGCAGCGAGATCAAATATCTGTGTTGTCCTGCATAAGTAAGAAACGCCTGAGGTTTAATTTTTGCAGTGCGGAGAATGCCAAATTCCCATCATTGTTTATTCTTCCTGTGCGAAAATCTTTGTTTATTCTTCGTGTGCAAAAATCTTTGTTTATTCTTCGTGTGCAAAAACTGTACAGAACTGCTTTAGTAATTATACACACACACATATACATACTATATATATAATATAAACTATCTCTGCTGTGCATTTTACCAGCACAATGTTTGATCGAGTTGTAACTTATATATACATATAATTATATACAAGTTTTTTTATGAATAAGGCATATTTCTGCAAAAACAAAGTGAAGATTTATCTGCAGGCAATCAAGTTTTGGAATAGCAGATGCATCTGAATGCAAGTGTACAACAGAAATAAATGTGGTTATAATTGTGGATTACACCTTTTGCATGACTAAACAAAATAAAAGGGATAACATAGAAGTGTATTTCTAATTTTGCCTGTTGCTCCTAGATTGCAGTTTAGTTTCACATTTCAGTCAGCAACTCAGTACTCTCCAATCACAGCAAATGCTGTTCATCCATTTTCAGAATGGAAACCTTGTGTTTCACATTCCAGACTACCCTCAAAACAGCTTGCACTTTTTAAATGTTTGATGAACTGCACAGATTTCGGATTGTACATAAAACTTTTGAAAGTTGTGTAAAAGCGTTTCCTCCAAGTTCAGGGAAGCAAAGAATAATGATCGAAATCATTCAATATCAAAGGGTAAAACACATATTTTAAAAATTAAAGCATTTCTATAGCTGGTTCCTATAGGAAATGGGTGGAAGCAGTAGGCCATTCGACCCATCAAGCCTATTCCACCATTCAACTTGACTGTGATCTGTCTATACCACACCTCACTGTCTCCATGCCCTTTTGGTGTCTCCAATACCTAGAAATCTAACTTTTTGTTTATTCTTTCATGAGATGTGAGCTTTGCCAGTAAAGCCAACAGTTTTCCTCCATCCCTAATTGCCCCTGAGTCACTTGCTGAGCAGTTAAGAGTCAACCACATAAGTGTAGGTCTGGAGTCACATGTAGGCCAGTCCTGGTAAGGATGGCAGTTTCCCTCCCTGAAGGACATTAATGAAGCAGTTTTTTTATTTGTCAATTGAAAGCCAACAGAAATAATATCAGTCTTTAATTACAGAACTAAATTCAAATTCCATCAGCTGCCACTGTGGGATTTGAATCTATGCCCCTTTTTGCCTCTGGGATTCCTAGCCAAGTGATACTGTCAGAACATCACTGTCTCCCTTTTATTTGTCTACATCTTCAACATTCTCGATGATTGTGCTTCCACAGTTCTTTGGAGTAGAGAATTGTCTCATTCTAGACCCCCAGCCTCAGCCGGGGGAAGCATCCTTATTGTATCTACCCTGTAAAAACGTTCTAAGTTTTATTGAGATAACCTCTCATTCTTCTAAACTCTAGTGCACTACTTCCCAAACCCCTTTCCAACTGTGAAGCCATTTTGAGGCTTGACACTGTGGAGATCCCTCTGTAAGAACTAAGAGAGTAGAGCCTGATAGCACAGCTTTAATGGCGCAGTGAGAGGTCCACAAGGAACCATTACTTCCTCAGAGTTCATAACGCCAAATTTCAGTTCATGGCCCCACTTGGATCCTGACCCCTACTTTGAGAAGCCCTACTGTTGTGAATATAGGCTAACTCTCCATAAACTCTCCTCGAAGGGCAATCCCAGAATCACAGGAATAGCTTTTTTGTTTGGGAATTTGAGAATGTGATCCTCAAAACACAAATTCCAGAACCTCTGGCACTCTAAGTAGATTTTGACTTTAATCAATGAAGAAGCATTTTAGAGCTGTAAGCATGAGAACCTCTTTAGAAAAGAAGCAGAATTTAGTATTGTTGAGAAAAAGATATATTTTGCTAAAGCACTCACCAGGACAATTCAGAAGAAATACCCAAAAAAAAGGAACATAACACTTAGACGATATGGGAGAAAATTGAGGTTTGATTGGCAAGTGGACTTGTAAAGTGGATTCCATCATTGGAAGACACGCTGCGGTGAAGATTGCACTTAGGTGCTGATTGACAGTTAACTGCCAAGCTTTGTTTAAACTTTAAATCAGGCAGGTTAACACTGATTGATTGAGCTTGCACTGAGAAATGTTCAATTCCTATTCTGTTGATTTGTAGCAGGTATAAAGAACTGTGCCCTGTGCATTAACCATATGTAGATACCAGTACACACAAATGCACCATATAACAAGCCCAAGTGAAAATCCTAAATTGCATAACTCTTCACACATTCAGGATTGCAGGATGTACACCTGAAGCCTGTATCGCAGAGATCAGGTCAGCATTCAAGAATTTGAATGGTGTGGCATAGCTTTGGTTGTCAATGTGTCGATACTGAGGTTGGATTTTTTTTTCTATTCATTTGTGGGATGTGGGTGTCGCTGGCTAGCCAGCATTTCTTGCCCATCCCGAGTTGCCCTTGAGAAGGTCGTGGTGAGCTGCCTTCTTGAACCGCTGCAGTCCTCCTGCTGCGGGTTGACAATGCTATGAGGGAGGGAATTCCAGGATTTTGACCCAGCGACAGTGAAGGAATGGCGATATATTTCCAAGTCAGGATGGTGAGTGACTTGGAGGGGAACTTGGAGGTGGTGGTGTTCCTATATGTCTGATGCCCTTGTCCTTCTATATAGAAGTGTTTGGGGGTTTGGAAGGTGCTGTCTGAGGATCTTTGATAAATTTCTGCAGTGCATCTTGTAGATAGTACACACTAATGCTACTGTGCGTCAGTGGTGGGAGTGAATGCTTGTGGATGTAGTACCAATCAAGTGGGCTGCTTTGTCCTGGATGGTGACAAGCTTCTTGAGTGTTGTTGGGGCTGCACTCATCCAGGCAAGTGGGGAGTATTCCATCACAATCCTGACTTGTGCCTTGTAGATGGTGGACAGGCTTTGAGGAGTCAGGAGGTGAGTTACTCGCTGCAGTATTCCCAGCTTCTGGCCTGCTCTTGTAGCCGCTGTGTTAATGTGGTGAGTCCAGTTGAGTTTCTGGTCAATGGTAACCCCCAGGATGTTGATAGTGGGGGATTCAGTGATGGTAACACTATTGAATGCCAAGGGGCAGTGGTTAGATTGTCTGTTATTGGTGATGGTCATAGCCTGGTATTTGTGTGGCGTGAATGTCACTTGGCACTTGTCAGCCCAAGCCTGGATATTGTCCAGATCTTGTTGCATTTGAACATGGACTGCTTCAGTATCTGAGGAGTCACGAATAGTGCTGAACATTGTGCAATCATCGGCGAACATCCCGATGGATGGAGGGAAGGTCATTGATGAAGCAGCTGGAGATGGCTGGGCCAAGGACATTACCCTGAGGAACTTCTGCAGAGATGTCCTGGAGCTAAAATGATTGATCTCCAACAACCATCTTCCTATGTGTCAGGTACGACTCCAACCACTGGAGAGTTTGCCCCCTGATACCCATTGATTCCAGTTTTGTGAGGGCTTCTTGATGCCACACTCGGTCATATGCAGCCTTGATGTCAAGGGCTGTCATTCTCACCTCACCTCTGGAATTTAGCTCTTTTGTCCATGTTCGAACCAAGGCTGTAATGAGATCAGGAGCTGAGTGGCCCTGGCAGAACCCAAACTGGGCGTCACTGAGCAGGTTATTGCTGAGCAGGTGCTGCTTGATAGCACTGTTGATGACACCTTCCGTCACTTTACTGATGATCGAGAGGAGACCGATGGGGTGGTAATTAGCCAGGTTGGATTTGTCCTGCTTTTTATGTACAGACAAACTTGGGCAATTTTCCATATTGTCGGGTAGATACCAGTGTTGTAACTGTACTGGAACAGTTTGGCTAGGGGAGCGGCAAATTCTGGAGCACAAGTCTTCAGTACTGTTGCCGGAATGTTGTCAGGGCCCGTTGCTTTTGCAGTATCCAGTGTCTCCAACCATTTCTTGATATCACGCAGAGTGAACTGAATTGGCTGAAGGCTGTAATGCTGGGAACCACTGGAGGAGGCCGAATTGGATCATCCACTTGGCACTTCTGGCTGAAGATTGCTGCAAATGGTTCAGCCTTATCTTTTGCACTGATGTGCTGGGCTCTTCCATCATTGAGGATGGGGATATTTGTGGAGCCTCCTCCTCCAGTGAGTTGTTTAATTGTCCACCACCATTCACGACTGGATGTGGCAGGACTGCAGAGCTTAGATCTGATCCATTGGTTGTGGGATCGCTTAGCTCTGTCTATCACTTGCTGCTGTCGCTGTTTGGCGTGCAAGTAATCCTGTTTGATGGCTTCACCAGGCGGATACCTCATCTTCAGGTATGCTGGTGCTGGCTCCTAGCGTGCCCTCCTGCACTCTTCACTGAACCAGGGTTGATCCCCTGGCTTGATGGTAATGGTTGAGTGGGGGAAATGCTGGGCTATGAGGTTACAGATTGTGCTGGAGTACAATTCTGCTGCTGCTGATGGCCCACAGCGCCTCATGGATGTCCAGTCTCGAGTTGCTAGATCTGTGCGAAGTCTGTCCCATTTAGCACAGTGATAGTGCCACACAACACAATGGAGGTTGTTCTCAATGTGATGGCGGGACTTCATCTCCAAAAGGACTGTGCGATGGTCACTCTTACCGATACTGTCATGGACAGATGCAACTGCAGCTGGCAGATTGGTAAGGATGAGGTCAAGTATGTTTTTCC